GGCACTAGGCTGTGTTTTGTGCGGACGTTGGGCGAAAAAAAAAAACTCTCCGCGAACCTTGGGTCCATGTAGCCCTTGCCCGTTTACCCCCCATGTCGACATGTGACGACATCATTTGCACGCCGTACGTGGGCCGTGTACGTAGGGTACTCCGATAGATTTTGTGAGGAGGGAAAAAAGGAAGGAAGAGAGAGATAAAACCACTTACACCGATGCTGCAGCTTTCCACTCCTGAAGCGACAAGAAACGCTGTATCTCGGGTGCCGACGAGACAATCTTGAGCTCCATACCGACGATAAGCACGATAACGACCAGACGCCCCAGTAGGCTCGGCACTATAGTAAACGCCAGCAGAGGCACCGCCAATATAAACGGGAACCATACGGCTGCTGACTGATGATGCCCGGCCCCTTGTTCGCCCGCTGCTGCCATTGTCGCCGTCGTAGAAGTAGTAGCCGCCGCCAAGCGCGGCACGGCGACAAGGTCAGACGCGCGCTCCAGAAACCGACTCTCTGCATAATCAATCGGCTCGTGCTCATTCATCCACTCGCGGTATCGCGCCACATCGTCTTCCCCGGCTGGACGGAGCTTGCTCGACATATCGCTGAAAGAGGATAGAGCTTTATCTGCGATTCAAGTTAGCAATGGCCCTAATAGAACCCCTTCTTTCGTGTGTATAAAAATAAGTTGTTCGCGACGATCTTTCTCTCTTTTGTCTCTCATGTATCCATTCTGTCATGCTAAAAATGTAGCAAGCTTATTTTTGTGATGTAACATGCACATATTCCTGTAAATGCAACTGCAACTTACTGTACTGTTCCAGCTTCTGGAATATGCGACCCAGCAGCTCGGTTCTCTTGAAATGTGACTCGCCGCCGTACCGCGCGTCATTTCGTCGAGACGCAGGATACGCGTGGCCTGAGGGATCCTTGGGCGACATTTGCGCAATGCATCGGTCCAGCGTACGGAGCTCTTCTTCGAGTTCGCTCATCTCGTCTTGTAGGTGCAATAACACCCGGTGGTTTAGGTGCTCAAACTTACGGTACACGGGTACGAGGTTGACTTCCCGTGCTGTCTCACCTTGCGAGGGTGCGCTAAGTTCGTTCGCCAGAAGCTCATAGCCTGTTAGAGCCGGCTTGGTCTGAGTAGATGCCGGGCCATGTTGCTGATAAGGTTGCGCTTGGGCTGGATGAGGTGAGAATGGCTGTGGGATTTGTTTGACCAGGCTGTGTGGATATGCGTGAACGGCTTCTGGGGATTGGTGTGGTGCATAGCCAATGGCCAGTGGAGCTGGAAATGTGTGCATAGGTGACCAGGCCTGTGGTGAGTTTGCTGCACCATTACTTATAACTGATGGAGATGCGCCAGAGTATACCTGCGGACTGTACATGGGCGTAGGTGGATAGATCTGACCGGGTGTTCCTCCATTGAATTGGAATCCCTTTTGTGGTTTGGGGTTCTTCAATATGTGATTGGCTAGCTCTCGCTCCTGTTGCTTTAGACGTCTGGCATGAAGGTCGCTACCGCGGGATGATGTAGATGGCGCCCGGGGTAGAGAAACCTTATTTGTAATCTTTTTAGATTTTTTAGACAACTCACTGCTGGGTTGGGCCTCTCCTTCACTTTCTGTGCAACTGCCTTCACTCTCTCCGCTCTGAGCGACCGTCTCTTCGTCTTCATCCCTAGGCCCATGCACAAAGCTGCTAGCATACAGCGGCTTTTTGAACTTGCGAAACTCTTGATGAGGTAGCTGAGATACCATTGGACTGGAATTTTGTGCTAATGTTTGTGAGCTAATATCTGATCCATTGGGATCTGTTCCTGCTGCGGATGGGCGCTTATCGCTCGAGTTGGAGTCATTCAGAGGCGGGGAGGGCAAAAAGGAAGGAACACTGATCGACGGAACGAAGCCCTGCAGGTATGCAGGCGTGGAATTCTCAGTGTCATTATCTGGCTGGAGATACTTGAAGACATCCGATTCAGCGGCACTCATTATGGAACTGGTAGGACTTTGCCTCTCCGTAGCCATCTCGTATCGGTATGGGTAGCCGTCGTCCTCCCGGGATTTCTGCGTCACCGTTGAGTTACTTCCACTTGAAGCGCTCGATTGCTGTGACACGCTCGAGGCCGACGATGGTTCGGATAGTTCGGCGAGCTTCCCACCGTGGCGGTGGAGAGAGTTATGTTTACGTTGTACGCGTGAGCGACCCGCAGCACTGTCTTCTGTGTGTCGCCGACGAAGCGCTCTGGGCTGACCTGTAGAGCTGACAATGGAACTCCCTCGACGTCTTGATTGCATAGTGGTCTTTTTCTCTCGTATTTGGCCGAGTCTGGGTATATATCCCACGGTACTTCCCTCTTCGTCCAACTCTTCTTGCCCACTGCGCGGCACAGGTGACAGTTCACCCTGATGTGAGTCGCGTCTTAAAAGCTTCTTGAGAGTGGTGCGGGCTGCTTTGTTCTTCTTGTCGTCTTCGTTTTGCTCCTCGCTGTAAGACAGGGAGGAAGAGGGCGGGGAGCCTTTGGTGCCCGAAGTGGTCCGGGATGGCCTGCGTCGAATGTGGGGTCCACTAGCAGCCACACCGACTTCTTTTTCTTGGAGACTATCGTAGTGATATTGGGGATCGTCTGTGGTAGGGTTGCGATGCCGTGAAGGGGACTGAGCGCCCTCAGATGGTGAGGCCCGGTCCGACTACAAGACAGCACAATTCAGGTCAGTCTCAACGGCCATCAGAGAGTCGGCTCGAGAGGGTATTGTTTCGTTATCAACGCACCATGCTATGTAGTGCTTGCGAGAGTCAGCTGCCGTCAGCTAAGGCCGCGCTCGTGGTAATGTATCTGATATTTTTGACAATGGCCTTGTGTGCAAAGACCTGCCGAAGAGGGGATGGCACAGTGGACAGCAGAGCAGTATGCGACTCCTTGCATGCTGGAGGGATCAGTAGTACATGTCGTGTGACGGAGGGAACTGAGACTGGTAAACTAAGCAAACGGTCTCTATAGTGGTACGGTTCGACGCCGGTGGCTCGTTGCAGCTGGTGTGCGCCATAACCATGGCGGTTTGTGGTATGTAGAAGACGAGGAGAGCGTACTCCAGGCTGGACGAGGCCACTATGAAAAATATTTGAGCCGGACAGTCACCGCCTTGCACATGCAGAGCAAGCAGGACGTCTTTCCGGTGTGGATCGGAAGTGCGCGGTGCTGCCCAATAGTGGTGGATAGAGACCGTCAAGCGACTTGTCCCCACCACGTGGGCCTATTGCCCGAAGCCGTGTCTTCAACTGCGCTTCCTCCCTTCTGCTAAATCGATCGACGCGCATTCTGATGATGTACCCGTTCAGCCCAGCGGACCAGTCATCAGTGTTTCTGCCATCTTTTTTCTGGTAACCTAAGGGCATGCAACAAGCCCCTCAAGGCCACGTCAACAAACACCGGGACTCGCACACGAACAGTATGGTTCTACCGCTGCCAGTGGATAGCCAAGCCGCACAGCTGCTCCGTTTCCGAGCTGGGGATCCCTGTCCTTGCTTGGCTCCACGTCTCAAACCCTCATGATTACGCCCAAAGTCTCGCATCTCCAAGGCGAGCAGATCTGATGACATGGAAGTTATGCATCCACTTTTGCTTTGTTTCAACTTCGTGACCTGAGATGTTCAGCTACGTACATGCCGAGGCAGCTGTGTCCGAAGCTGGGGTCTGTTTCATTATTATACTCGCCATAATAAGCTGCTCTATTCTTATCAGCTCATCTATCCTTGCAAGTACACTACACACAATGGCTCGCTGTGGCTTGATGTGGCGCAAATTAGAAGCAACGGATGGCTAGCATACAAACGAGGTAGCCGGACAGCTCCGTTCCACTAGCCTGTCATGCTCCATTCGTGATGCGAATTCTCAATCTGAAAATATCGGGGTTCATTTTGGTCATACATCGGTGGTGGTCGCTTAGTACCCGAGACAGCGAGAATACCGGAACGAGACATATCGAAATACCGTGAATAGAGTGATATCAACCGGTCAGTCGAGATTGCAATAATTTAGCTACTTCCACCAATCACCCAAGAACCTTGCCTCTCAATGTTGTCATCTGCAGCACTTCGTCCTTGGTCAGCCCATCGCTCCTAATCTCACCCTTCTTTCCAGCCTTTCTCATCTCCCTATTACTCTCCATACCTATGCCCTCGCCCCAACCCCAGTTCTCCTCGACCCATGTTACTGGCCATAACAGCCATGTACCTAGCACGCAAAACAGCGTAGCCCAGGCTTGCCAAATCCAGATCAGCATCCAGCCCCCGGGTGCGATGAAGCGTATCCATTGATCTACTTGGTAAAGATCGTCTTGTTTCTCAATCAGGTATTTGCCCGTCGAAGGCGAATGGCGCAGGGTGAGAACCGTGGTCAGACGGATCGGCGCGTAATAAAAGGGCACTGCCCAGATGCGAAATATTTGGAAGATTGTCACATAGAGCGTCAGGTTCGCTTCGTCAAATGCTACCAATGGGAATTAGTGCCTGGTTCCGTATAAACCGTATGGATAACGCGACGCAACATACCGACACTCTGCACTGTCAGATCAATTCTCGGGCTCATGATCTTGTACCAACGGTAGGTCGCATCGACCAGCCATCGAGAATTTAGCCCGCTCCATGTTCGACAGAACGGATGTGAGAAAGCAGCGTCTGGCGTGAAATACTTCTCAATCGTTGCGCGTTGTAGAGAGGGCGGTGATTGTGTAAGGAGATGGATCACCGCCGGAATTTCCTTGACTGGTGATTTCACGTCAGCAAGAGCTGTAGACCTGGGAATTTGAACAAACCTGGGTCTTCCATGTTGTCGATCGGTGCGCCGAGTATATGCGTGCATTGTGTGCTCGTCGGTAGGCGGTTGCTTTATGTGCATTGCGCAACCTTTGGCGTGCTTTTCCATGTGAAGACGCGTTGATATGACGTCACATTCGTCATTGCATCACTTTGACACTTATGGCACCATCGCAACCAAGTCTGTGGCCGTAACTCTGAATTCATTATATCGATCGTAAGCTTATCGAGGTATTTTTGTAATTACATAGACCATAGAAGTATCAATCCACTAAACTTTCACCACATCTATTGAGATCTGTACTGCTGGATCTCCGCCTCGGATATCTGCCTCAGCTTGTTCACGTTTGGTGACTCGCCGCTCGCGATACCCTTTGCTAGCTCAATAAGCCCGCCGACTTGGGTCCTCTTGGATATGGCGTATTGAGCAGTGCTAGCCTTGACGCGGATGATGCCAATGCGCGGGTCTTCTGGACCGCCGTCGTGCTTGCCGTCGCCGAGGTCGCCGATCCAGGCCTTGAGCGCTGGTGAATAGTGCTTGCGGACAATCTCGCGATCAGTCTCAATGGATGCATGGCCAGAGATGGACGCCCATTCTCCGGAGTTGTTGATGAAGCCAATGTTGACCGACGCGTGTTCTTTCAGGTCGTCCGTCTTGCCAGACTCAGTGTTGGTGTGGAAGAGGAGATCGAAGCCGTGTCCCTCCTGTGCATTCGTTAGCGGTGCTATATCAATAGATACTACTTGTTGCTTACCTTGGCAGCAAGTGCCATTGCTCTCGAAGCCAAAAGATCGCTGTCCGCAACCTGCGTGGTCAAGAGGCAGAACTTGGTCTTGTCGACGAAGCTGAACAGATCCTCAACCTTCTCCTTCAGAGAAGGTTCCTCGAGGTTCTTCTGAGTGTAGGGGTCGGCGGTCTTAGAGCCGGTATCCGCGTTACTGAAGCCAGACATGTTGATGGTAGTGTTGGAGAAGACGCGTTGCGAGGTAAGTGATTTGGGTAGCTGCGAGGAAGGCGTCAGCTTCTGTAAACACAACATTCGTGGTAATCTTCGTGCAGCTGGTGCAGCACAACGATGAAGAAAGCGAGATGCAATCATACCTGAGTAGAGGACTATTGGGAGCAGATGGTGTGGTGCAGGAGAGGTCCACGAGAGGGCACGACTATGTAGTGACAACGCTGTGATGACGTCACATAGTCCCGTCGCGTTTGCCCACCCCGCTGCTAGGTGGGGAGGAAACAATTAGACAGTTAACCGGATCTGCTTTTGCGAAACAATGCTGGGCTTACCTAAAGGATCAGTGGTTGCGTCATGTCTCTTAGTAATAGTTCAGGTACGACAGGAGCGGTAAGCTAAAAAGGAACGTGGGCTTGAACATCACACCGGCGATCAGTCCAGCCAACTGCGAGCCGCATCATTTAGCGTGGGCTTAAGAATATCAGATAGTGGTATTGACCATCTAGATCTGCCGTGCGTCTAGAAGGAAAGTACCGTACCCCACGCCGTGACCCCGTCCAATGCCATGCTGGTATCCCATAAACAACAGCGGAGAATGTCCCGACCACAAGCTAAAAAGAAAGAATCGGGCTAGATCCCAGACTATACAGATGCCCTGGATATGTCACCCTTTTTTTGGAGGGACCAGATCCCTCATGACAGGCGGCACTTTGTGTGCTCTATGCGTCAGCGGCGGCCTCCTTGTCCTCGAGCGACGCCTTCTTGAGGTCTTCGGCAGCATCAGCGGTGGCATCCTTCTCTTGGGTCAGTTCAGCCTCTGCAGATGCATTGCCGTTGACCGCCTGGTTCTTCTGGGCAGGCTTGCGCGCAGCGTCAGTGCTACCGCTAGCCTCTTCCTCCGCCTCTTCTGCTTCAAGACGCTCAATTTCCTTTTGTGCCTTGGCAATGTTCTGTGTTCTATGTTAGCTCTGTGACAGCAATGTAACTCGCAGGCAGATTTACCTCCTTGGTCTTGCGGTCTTGGTCTTCTTTCCAGTGCGCGAGCTTGGCCTTGAGCTTCTCGACAGTGGCAGGGATGTCTTCTTGGCTCGAGGGAGCCTCAACGCCAACTTTGGCCAATTCCTCAATGATACCAATGTTGAGGTTGAACTTGGCGGGAGCAGAGCTGGCACCGCCTTTCTTGCCCTTCTTGCCCTTCTTTCCGCCAGTGCCGACAAAGTAGCTCTCTTCCTCGGTATCCTTCTTGGAGATGCGAGTGCCCTTCAAGCCAGACTCGTCGACAGTGCGTTGAGCGGAAGCAGCAAACTTGCTTGCTGCAGTGGTCTCCTTGGGTGGGAGAGCGGATGGGTCGAAGTGACGGATCAAGCCTTCGGCAGCAATGATCTCGTCGCCGTAAGCAGGCGTGCTGGCCTCTTCGAGACGCTTGCTGGCAGCCTCCTTGCGCTTGCTTGCAACATATTGGAGTTGCTCTTGACGCCTCTTCTCAAAGCGAATCTTGCGAGCCTCGGACTCGTACGTCTTGTATGCGCGGAGCTGCTGGAAGTATGCATCCTTGAGGTCTTTTCGTGCCTGGTACTTCTCTTGCTGCTCAGCGCGAGCCTTGTCTGTCTGCTCACGAAGCGTTCGCAGGTTCTTGAAGGCCTCGTCTTGCTCGGCCTTGAGGGCATCCAGCTCAGTCTGGAGCTTAGTGTACTTGTCGCTGAGGGCCTTGTTCTCGGGGTCGTCCAGGAGCTTCTTCTGCTCAGCGATCTGGGCCTTGATATCTTCAATCTTCTTCTGCTGAGCATCGAAGCCGGAAAAGTTCTTGCGGGCCTTGTTAAGGGCGCTGATCTCGGCGAGGGCCTTCTTCTCATCTACCAGCTTCATCATGCCACCGTCGACTTGCTTCTGCAGACGTGCGATTTCCTGGTCAACCTCCTCAACAGATTTGTAGTTCGACTTGCCCTTTGCGGTCTTGAGCTCGGCCAACTGCTGCTTAAGCTGGTCGTCGAGCTTCTTGATCTTCTCGAAAATGGCATTGCGGCCGGACTTGTTCCCTTGCTGTGTCTGGCGGATGGCGTTGAGCTCGGTCTTGAGCTCCTGCTGGCGTTTGGCATTGGGCGAGTCCTTGTTGTTCGGCTTTGCGTTGTCGAGCTTAGCCTTGCAGGCGTTCTAGCGATGGTCAGTACCGGTTGTCAGACCCTTATATCTGCATGTGATGCAGGTACTCGACGGCCCATCAATACTCGATCTACTTACCAGCTTCTCCTGAGCCGCAGCGTGCTCCTTCTCAAGTTTGGCAAGTTCCTCCTTGTACTTCTCCTCGTCAGGCTTGTCCGGTTTGACGATCTGCTGCTTGCCTTGCGGGGCAGAGCCATTGGCAGTGGCCTTCTGGGCGGCGGGGGGAGTTGCAACGTCGGCCATGTCTGCTATGCAGTCAATTGGGTTGACGAGTTGACTGATGGAATGCGACGGTAGAGGAGAGTCTGCGCGAGTTGCGTTGACCACCAAAGGGTGAGGGTGGACAGTAAGAGCGGTGGGGAGGACAACTATTAAAATCGAGGGTCTCGAATGAACCACGGAATGTTGGCAACTTTTCCCGAATTTTAGCGGATGGGCTAGTGCCGCATTCTCCATCCATCGAACATTCACCGGGGGCCTCGAACCTCACCCACCAAACTACGGGATGGCGGAAAAATCGCGGGGCAGTGTCCCCATCTTATTGCTCAAAACGAAGTCGGCCCCCACGGACACGTACGAAGAGCTGTTCCTTGGCCTCGACGATGGCCGCTACGCCCCTGTTTTTGTGCCGGTGCTGGAGCACAGGTTCAAGCGAGACGCCCTGCGCGAGGTGCGTGAGCATGTTACCAGCCGAGGCTTGGTGCCAAAGTCGCAAAAAGGCCTCGCGACATACGGCGCCCTGATATTTACCTCACAGCGGGCCGTTGAGGCGTTCACCGAGGTTATCCAAGAAATTCGTAGCCAAGGAACTTATAAAGTTGACGACTTGCTTCCAGAGAGCCTGCCACTCTATGTCGTAGGCCCGGCTACCGCGCGCGGACTGCGAGCGTTAGGACTTAAATGCCCAATCCTAGGTGAAGAAACTGGCAACGGTGAAGCCCTAGCTGGCTTTATCCTGCAGCATTATAACGCCATGTATCCAGATACTCCCAACCCACCTGTTCTGTTCATGGTGGGAGATAAGAGAAGGGATATAATACCAAAAACGCTCCAGTCGGTGGAGCTGGAGCCGAACGCCAGGGCAAAAGTAGACGAATTGGTTATATACGAGACCGGAGAGATGCAATCTTTCAAGGAGAACTTTTCGGCCATTTGGAAAGACAACATCGATAGGGGTTTCAGACGTCAATGGATTGTTGTATTTTCCCCAAGCGGATGCCAGGCGATGCTCGAGAGCCTGTATCTTTTGGATGCTGAGACGGGTAGAGCAAAAGCGTCCACCGGACAGAGGGACATACTCATAGCCACCATCGGCCCGACTACTCGCGACTTCCTCATTCAGCAATTTGGTTTTATCCCCGATGTATGCGCAGAAAAGCCAACTCCGGAGGGCATAGCAGAGGGTATTAAAGATTTTCTTGAAAAGCGTGGTTGAGAAAAGCACTGCCTCTGGTCGACAGTCCGTGTAAAATAAATAGGTTGTTGTGTGTGTTTTCGTGCTTCATCAGAGGCGCTACAGGCCATGCTTGCTGTAGGCAATCGCATTCGTATTCGCACGTTTCATTCTTATGACGACCACGATGATTGATCGCAACTTTGTTCTGGCGGTTATTGCTGCACGTGCCTTTCTGACGCGTTGATGTGCCAAATACTGCCATTGACGTCACTACACACGCGACGCGACTGCCACAAACTTCCAGCGCAATCATCTGTCCGTACTCTTATTTCCTTCTCATTCTTCGCCGTTTAACTTCTTACTAACTGATTCTCTACATTTTACTCAATCGACCCAATATCAGCACATTTGATTGCAACACATTCTTCTACACATAATACCAGTAACATGTCAAGCCCAACGAAAAGCAGTGATGTCGCAGCTGGCACCAAAAGGAAGCATGATATCGAGCCGTCTCCCAAGCGCGAAACTAAAGCAGCGAAGAAGCAGACCACTATCGAGGAGACGATGGGATCAGGCCAAGAAAAAGACGAGGAGATGAAAGACGCTTCAGACGACGGCGAGAATGTGAAACAAACAGACAAATTTGAGGAAAAGGTCGACGAGGACCTTTTTGACGCCAGTGATGAGCAGGCGTTGTCCAACGGCGACGATGCAAAGCCGTCTGGTGCGGAGAGACAGGGTGGCAACGATCCCAACACTGAATCAAAAGCGCATACAACGACACGGGACGAAGAAGAAAATGATTCGCGCAATACTACAAAAGAATCAGACACCAATGGAGAGGGCGCGATCGAGAAATCATCCCAGCGTGAAAAGCAGGTTCCGTCGAACATACTTGAAAAAGGCGTCATCTACTTTTTCACTCGCAACCGTGTCGGCATTGAAGAATCTGAAAGCGTGGGCGATCTACAGCGCACATTCTTCGTCCTGCGGCCCATGCCAGTAGGTGCCAAACTCGGTGATGGCTCGCTTGCGGATGACAACAACAATCGTCTGTTCGCGCTTCCGAAGAAGGTTTTCCCAAAGTCGCACAATGATCGTTTCATGGCTTTTGTGGAAAAAGCAAACGTGACTATAAAGGAGCTGAAGGATGACTTCTTCAGCGCGGAAGAGTACAATACAAAGACACAGGGCACTCGGCGTGTTGAACCCATTGCTCCAGTGGCTGAGGGTGTGTACGCAATCACACGTACTGAGGACCGTACATGTCATCTTGTCTATTCTACTACTATTCCCTCAGAGCTTGGTGAGGTACAGGATGATCTGGGTATCAAGGATCAGGGCAGCTTCATCATCAGCGTCAAGAACCCTGAGCGGAGCGGACCTGCCCAGGCCCAGCTCCCTCAAAAACCCGGTTTCCCTCAAGAGTGAGTGTGCTTGATTTCGCGAAATCATTACATACTAATCATGGAACAGATTCATCGAAGAGTTCCGTGGACTAGCTTGGGTTGAAGCAAAGCCGAAGTATCTTGACTATGAGTATTGTCAGATCCTGCTCATTGGCGAGAAACTGGAGTCGGGCGTCAAGCCTACCACGAAGGACCAGAAGCACGATAAAGAAACTCCGCTCGAGGAGATTGAGAAGCTCGAGCATGAAGACGAGCTTCGCGTCGAGCATCTTCATGGTAAGTTCTCTGTTAGATGTTTGACAATGCAGGTGCTAACCGATTATCAGGTGATGATTCCATCTACGACGACCTCAAGATCAGCAAGAGGGAGTATCCCCAGGTCTCTACGACCTGGTAAGCGGATATGTGGGAACCATGTTTATTTTGTTGTTACCTGAATACAGGTTTGTCGGGCAGCGTAAAACATGAATTATTGGCGTTTAGAGGGCGTGAAAAACAATGTGGAAACCACAAGTATGTGATGGGATACAATTGAGCGTGTGCATGAGTGAGAATGTTGCTAGGACATGCGTTGGATGCGAACTACTAGTTCAATGGAACCTCCCTTTCATTCATTCCACCTCTTGTATCACACTTATGATCTGGCCCTAGCCACTCTGTATTCCTTCCCGTGGTACCCGAACAGCAACATCTTCTTCGCAAAATTTTCCACCAAATTTGTTCGCCAATGGAATACGAACACACTAGAATCCTCCGCTTTTAAGACTTAACTTGATATTTTATCTCTGTTTGCTATAGTTATAGCGTATCAGATCAATTATCTTAGAAAAGAATAGCAGGCCACACCCTAACCTGCCGGAATCGGGTATTAAGCAATTAACCTTGCAGTTAAAGTAAAAGAATTTAAGTAAGCATTTACGTTAGCAAGACTCTACTCTTAAACCTTGAAAAATTATTTAGTAATACAACTAAGAATATATACACCTCTTGATAGGTATATGCCTATTAGGCATATCACTATTAGGTACAATAGCTAAATTATAGTTGCGACGAAAGGAGTAGAACAGCGAACTACAGTTGCGATAAGACAGCAGCGCAGCGCAGCACACCGATGCCTACAAATCCGCCATATCGTCAGCCTGCCTCTCCTTCCGCTTTTACACTAGGACAATGTCCTTACCTGTTTGCTTTGTGAAAAGGGTCTCGCAGGGTGGTTGCATCATTAGTTCTTCAACAGGGTCCGAAAATTTGAAAAGAGAACACTTCCCTTTCCAATATCCCTTTACGTCTCAAGAACTCTCACCTACCTTTCAAAAATCCTCAATTTCTTCTCAAAGACGTCCAAAAGTTCATCATGCTTACCCCCGGAAAGCACCACTGGCTAAGGCCAGGCTACTACAACACCCCCTCGTTCCGCCAAATCTGCCGTGACAGCTGGCTGAATATACTCACAGAAACCCTTTGCGTCATCATATCAATTCTTCTCTGGAGATTGTGTCCACCCTTAATCCCTCACTACTTTCCTTACTTCGAGGGCGTAGAGACCCATCCCATTGGCCTAAAATACTCACAGCCACTACGAGAAGAGTACATCAACACCATCATGATGGCAGCCATCTCGTTTTTGGTGCCTAGCAGCATCATGCTAGTCATGAATCTGTGGGTGCTCAGAGACTACTGCAATTGGGACGCATCGGTAGGTATTTTCCAGCTCCCTGCTCCTAGAACAATTCCAAACATTGAAGAAAGTTCCATCTCGGCTGACAATCGAATCCCAAAATACAGTTCACAAGACTCAGCTACGCTCTCTCAACCTCCACCTTATTCTCCTGCATCATCAAAATCCTAATCGGCGGCCTCCGACCCAATTTTTATGAGATATGCAGACCAGCAACCTACCTTCCTGAACCTACTACCGCGTCAGCTCCGCCCACGCGGTCTCGCATACAATACAGCACAGTCGACCAGGTCTGCACTAACACCGACAAATTCTCCCTCAATGAAGCGCAAAAAAGCTTTCCAGCCAGCCACGCCTCCTCCGCATTCGCCGGCTTCGTGTTTCTCGCGCTTTGGCTCAGCGCACATTACAAGACGCTTGGGCGGTCTCGAATTAATACCAAACGCCAGAGCACAGTTACCAAGGAAGCCCTTCACGATCCTAAAGGCAGCTTTAAAACTCTTTCCGGTCAATACTTTGACGCGGTTCCGCACTGGAAACTCATCATTTTTTCAACTCCGCTGTGGGTTGCTGTTGCGCTCTCGTTGTCCAAACTGAGAGATGGATGGCATCATCCTGTTGATGTGGCGTGCGGTGCGTGTATTGGGGGATTCTTTGCGGTGGTGGCGTATAAGATGGTATTTTGGAGCGTGTGGGATGCGAGGGATAATCATGTGCCGAGGAGGCATGTGGATGGTACGGGGGAGGGTAGGGTGTGAAGGGTTGTAGGGATTGGAATCACACAAGCCTCATGAGACGAAAAAGAGTATTTTGAGGGATTTGAGGGTCTTTTATGAAAATGTTTATTGCGTTTGGAATGCATTTGTGGGTGCGTGGGGTTATGTTGTCTTTATGCCGCATTTTGGTCGAGACTACACTCAATGGGCTTGTATTTACCTATTGTTTGCCTCACCCTCTTTTTGGATCATGAGTAGGTTATATTTGAAAGGGCAAATATAATAGATATCTGGCAGTGTTCAGCAGTATTTTCGGAACTTCAATTTTCTTTATTGTGGCTCATGCGAACAAGTGCTCAGTTCTCGCGGTTCTGCTACGCACGATATGATTTCTGAAAGTAGAACCGATCAGGAGTCATATCTTCAAAACGATGAGCGTTACGATATCTCGGTCTTCATCAACCCATCTGAACTTTCCTTCTCAAGACGCACTCAGTACATCCCCCTCCTTATTAACAAACTCCACATCTCCCACACTCTCTACAACAGTTACTTCCCTAACCACACCCCCATCATCCCACCCAAAATCTACAACACCCCCACCTCGAATCCTCAAACCCTTCACCTTCCCACCCTTCCAACTTTCAGGAATAGCCGGACCAAGCACCGCCCTCCTCTTCCCCTCCTGCCCCTCAGCCGGGGCCGGCAAATCCACAACAAGCATACTCAACACCAACCCTCCATACCCATAATTCGCATCAATCTGAAATGGCGTGCGCTCCCCTTTATACATACTGAACCCATTGCCTACGAAATTCTGCTCAATCGCATATCTGAGCTCCAAATGCGCTTGTGCCGTATCATTTAGACGTGCCCAGCACGCGCCGCGCCATACTTTTTCCCAACCTGAGTTTGCATCGGGCCCATTGCCGATGCCGCGGCTGATGAGTTTGTTGCGGACGGCGGATTGCACTGTGGTGTTTGAGTAGCCGCCGAGAAAAGACGAGAGGGAGTATCCGGGGTGCCAGCCTACGAGTTCGGAGATGTGACGGTGGGTGTCGTTTTGGAATTCGTAGCCGAAGGAGTCGGGGAGTTTCCATTCTTTGATTTGGGACCAGGATCCCACATGGAAGCCTTTGTCGAGGCGGGAGAGCGTGGAGGAGATATTGGAGGTGAATGATGTGTCGGATTCGCCGGCGAGGGAGTGCGTGGTCAGGACCGCTTCGAAGACTTGGTGGATAAGTTGTTGGTAGTGGGCGCAGCCGAAGGTTGTGGGACCGTGTTCGGGACTACTACAGGGGTTTACGACAAGGGTGTTATCGTTGGTAAAGGAGTCGGCGTGGAGTTGGGAGAGCCAGAATTGAGCGACGCTTTTGATGAGTGGGTAGCCTTGCGTGCGCAGCCAGGTCGTGTCGCGGGTGTAGTCCCAGTAGTCGAAGACGTGTAGCATCATCCATGCTGGGGCGGCGGGATAGTTGGCCCAGCCTTCTCCATCCTTCATACCTGTATGTCCGAAAATGTTCATTTCGTTGTGGACGACCCAGCCTGGTGCGCCGTATAGTAGCATGGCTGTTTCGTGGCCCCGTGGGACCCATGTGTTTATCATGTAGTCCCATAGTGGCGTCTGGGTTTCTGTCAAGCCTGTCTGGTCGGCAGTCCAATAATTCATTTGCAGATTGATATTGGCGTGGTAGTCGGCAGACCAGTCGGGCGCCATTTGTTCAGTCCATCGTCCCTGTAGATTGGTCGGCAGAGAGCCTGGTCGCGAGCTGGAAATCAACAAGTACTGTGCATAGTCAAAGAGCAAGCTTTCGACAAACGGGTCACCTGAAGTAACATTGGAGTCATAACTCGCGATCAGCTCCGGTGTTGGAACCTGAGCCGAGTTCAGGGGGTCGGGAAGATGAAATTCGAAGCGACCTGTGAGGGATGTAAAGTCTTCTAGATGGCTGCTCTTTAGCTCTTCCAGAGTTTTCATGGATACTTTTTGTATCGTTTCTTCAACTGCTGGGCCTGGGTCATTTCCTCGAAACGAGTATTGGTGTTCCGCTGTGCCTTTCTTCATATCATAATTCGTCTCAGCCCCTATGATAACCGTGGCGCTCTTTGCTCCATTTTCAGGTGTAACCTTCAGAATTCCAGTGTTGCTATCGCAAGTTGTCTTTACATCGGAATTGGGTAATAAGCGCGCAATTGTATCGTACAGCATTCCTTCTGGCGGACCTAGTTGGGTCACACCTCGTAGCCTCACATGGCCAGAGTCAGCTCCAGTACCGTTTGCAACACAGGTAATGTTTTCAAGCTTGGCATCAACCAGTTCGTTACCCAATTTTAGCTCGAAAGCCGGCAGGCTTCTGGACGACTGGATTGTGTAAACACAAACTTGGTCTGGGTAAGAGCAAAAAACTGTAGATTCAAGCTGAGTGTCATTGGTGTTGAAAGAGGTCGAATGGAGGCCATTTGTCAAATCCAGTTTGCGTGTGTAGTTGGAAACTTGAATTCCAACAAGGGATGGGATAGTTACAGTGAGATTGGCCAGGACTCGGTATGATCCATAGTTGTCGTTGGTACCAAGTAACTTTGTCACATTGCCGGTGCCATTGGTGAAGATCCAGTCTCGAATTCCAGGTAATGTGGAATCAATTGATGATTCTGGGTTACCACCAGTGTAGTTCTTGGACCATATTTAGTTTATGCATATCCAGGCATTTAGTGCTAGACTTACAGATGCTTCGAAAGGCCCTCCTGACCATAAACTGTCGAGATTCAGCGTAAGAGTTTCAGCCGAGGGAGAGCCGATTGGCATAGCAGCTAGTCGTCCATTGCCGACAGGTAAAGCGGTTCGGATGACGTCGCTGGTATTGGCAGGTGAAGTGGACCATATCAATTTAGCGCTGGTGCCATGTATAAGTGCAGATATCAATGGCGGTAATAGCGATTTTAGTAGCATTGTGAAATATTGAGCTTGCCCACCGTTCCTAGCAACCACGCATTGTTAAAAAAGCGATGGAACTCTACATAAATACTCACGAACGTTGTGTTCTCCCCGCTTTATTTGCGGGGACAGGTATTGGCTTTCTTTTGGTGATCGCCATGTACGTAGATTCTCCGCGAATAGAATTAGTCGGGTTGCCCCATAGTTACCGACAATACGGGCGCCTATTGGCCACAAGACGTGATAGGGTGTCAGAACAGGAAGGAGTAGCTCTATTATAGCTGCGATTTCCCAAGTATACAACTGAATGCTCGTTGATCTCCAAGGATTTTACTCTATCGAGTAGTCCTTCCGCTATTTTGTAGTTTGTTAGGCCGTAAAGCAACTTTCTGGCTGAGAAGGAGTGGAGGAGCCATTGCTCGTTCCTTCACTACTGCCGCGGTGCTGCAAGTCTTCATGCAATGTCTGGGATTGCTGGCATGCTTTCACTTTTATTTCATGAAAACTTAGCTGTTTTTCGTCCGCAGATGCAACACAGCATGGTCCATATGCTCTTCTGAGTCGACCTTGTTTCCGATTGCTGTATCAATGCCTGCTAATCCCGGAAGTATTGCCAAACTGAACACAATGTCCGCAATGTCCTTTATCTTTGACGTATTTTACCCACTTATATGTATTGAACATGATATGAGATAATAGCTGCAATTATACGGACTTGAGAAGCTCATATGTTATGTTATGAAATGAACAAGTTGTGAGGAAACAAAGGTGGTGGTGTTGAGTGAGGGTGTTGCGGTTGGAGGGGCAATTCTAGCCAATCGGCGGTTCGATTGCCCGAGCGGCGCTAAGTTTGGTGAACGATGATTCCATGATCATCACAACTTCTGCGCCCTCAATTGAAGCCGGAATAGCAAAGATGAGGACTCCGTACACGTGCAGACAGTGTCTTTCACTGCTGAAGACACCACGGGCTTCACTGCGCTCCCCGCAAGCCCTCCGTCCGTTGGCCCAGAATGCAACGATATCACGAAGTCACTCCACCAAAAGTCCAGCACCGCCAAAACTAGCCCTACCAAAGCGCAGCCTCTCTACGACCCCGCAGCGAGCGTTCGAAAAGCCGTTCGAGCCATATGAATATATTGACCCCGAGGGAATTCGCCGGACGAGGGTTCTGACTGAGGACAATCTCTTCAATTCATTCTCCAACTCGCCCATCCCGCAAATACGAAAGCGCGCAGCTTTCATGCGCCAGCATGCCTACTGCCCGCATCCTTCGCACCAGCCTACACGTGCCGTCAACAATTCCATGGACCTCGAAGCCCGCAAGTCCTCTGAGACGGGTACTCCCCCTGCGCACGTAGATTTCGAGTGTCCGGACTGCGGCATTCCGGTATACTGCTGTGAAGAACATTGGGCAGACGACTACGAGGCACATCTGGAAGTTTGTGATGTGCTGAGGCAGATCAACGAGGATGACCACGATCTGCGGAGTGGGCGCTTCTTCCGCGAGTTCCAATTCGCTGAGCCCCAGATGGAAGAGATTTTGGTCAACATGACGAGCTGGGACACGTACCTGTACACTCGTGACTTTGATGCACTCAACGAGGACCGTGAGATGAGGCAGGCGACAAAGCTCCTGACATATCCCATGACCATTGCCAGTATTCTGAATGAGTTGAGTCCCTACAACATCCGGAAGAATGGACGCATGACACCAGAGGGATTGAAGAGCTTTAGCGGTATGTGTATTCTCATTTGATTGATTATGTAGTACTGACATGGGCACAGCACTCCGGCATACGCTTCACCCACCCCGAACAGGTGGTGGTGACACTTGGAAGAATGCACGTATCGCTCCACCCTCTGTCCGCCTCTTCATTCTTGGCGCACGCGCAGAATCCTCCCTACCCCGCGAAACATGGATGCAGCTTGCATATCTTTTCCATCGTGTTCAATTCTCTTTGAATTTCATCGGACCTGAGAGCATGGCGAACCGCGAGAAAGAACTGCCCCTCCCCGAGCGCACGCCCCTAAACCCCTTTGGCGCTGTAATCGAAGACCGCATCAGCAATGCCATGAAGATCAGCACTTTTGTTGAATATTATCACAACATCCACAAGACGGGCTATTTCTACCCTTACGACCCCTACTTTGACTGCTTCGTTGTCTTCCATCCAGGTTTCGGCAACCCTGCCTCAGCTCACGAGTGGGAAGAGACGCTGCCGCTTCTCCTCGAGACCAAGGTTCCAATCATTGCGACTGGCTACAGCCCTTGGGATATGCAGCAAGACGTCGACTTCCTAAACAAGAGATTCGGCAACGAGATGGATATGCTGCTTGAGCCTGGCGAGAATCTGTTCCGAAGCTTGCGTTGGGATCTCAACGATCTTGACCCTCACGATGTCACGTGCAGCAACTGGGGAGTGTACTCTTTCCGCGGCAAGAGGTACGAGGCCACGAAGAGGGATGAAGAGAAGGAAGTGCACAGTGAAAGGACTGAGTGATTGAGAATGAAGGCTATGGTATGTGTGTAGTCATGTACAATACTGTATATTGCAACTGGGCATGTCTGACATGTAGTGTGATGATTGTTGATCCCTTCTTTTTGTCTAATCGAAGCCTTGGATTGTAGCATGTGTGTCGAACACTTCAGAAATTCTAAATCAATCATTCGGGATGTTCTCAACGATCATTTGGGTTGGTGTTTGGCCATCGCCGCAAGCGTAGTAGTCCAACAGTGCCACATCGTAAATCAGGCGTGTGGTTACAGCATTTGCCAACCGGTCAGTGAACCCCTCTTCTACCTCAAACCAATCACTTCTATCAATTCCAGTCGTACGAATCTTCGCTTCTGTTCGCAGAATTTCACAAGTGTTCACTCCATCCATTATTCACTATGTCAACTGCTACACCCGAGATTATCGGCTCCCTAGCCGATATCCAATACCTAGTCAAACTGATCTCTCGCCAATACAAACAGCCGCGAGACCTAAGCATCCCCAATTCACCCCTCTATATCGACGTGCAAGGCGCAAACCTCAACCGTGCAGGCCCCATCTCCCTCCTTACCCTCCTCTCCTCATTAACCTACTACCTCGTCGACATACTCCAGCTAGGCTCAATTGCCTTCACTACTCCCAGCACCCAACGCAAATCCGCATTCATAACTCCAAATACCCAAACCCAGACTTTAAAATCTATCTTTGAAGATGCAGATATCCCCAAAGTCTTTTTCGACGCCCGCAACGCCTCAGCTGCGCTATTCACACAATATGTAGTAGCGCTGTAGGGCATGCAGGACATACAGCTTATGGAGTGTGCGGCGCGGGACGTGGGGTTCCCACGAGACTACCTTATCAGTCTGGATGAATGTCTTGAGCGGACAGGGCCGAAGCATACAACACTCGAGAGATGCTTCCAACAGTGGAAGTGGAGGAGTGCCAAGGAGGCTGGGGAAAAGCTAATCAAGGCGGAGTTGGAAGGGTCGGATAAGGTGTTTATGAGCCCCCTATTAAAGAGGAGATTAAGAAGTATTGTTTGGGGCGTGTACAGTATCTTCCTGAGCTTAGGAAAGCGTTGTGGGAGGAGAAAGGAGAGGAGAAGGGGGAGGATTGGAAGGGGATTGTGAAGGTGGCTACGGAGAGGCGGGTGGAAGAGACGCAGGAGGTGGGGTATCTATCGCTCGGGAGAGATGAGGTTGTGTGGAGGGGGGAGGAGAGTAAGATGTTGGAACACCTGTGATGCATGAGGATACTTGGGCATAGTTGCAGATAATATCGTAGCCATCATCAATACTCGGCTAGAAGTACGGGAGATAGGGTTTTTTGTCTGATCTCATGTAAATGGATATGTTTAAGTAGTTTCTCATAAAATCATGTCTTATTCATGCTGTCTACTTAATGGCATCCAGGGGTGCACACGCCTCCGTAGCAGTAGCAGACCTGACGCTTGACCTTGTCGCGACATCCGGGAGTACAGAATCCTCCATAGCAGTAGCATACTTGGCGTTTGTCAATAGCCTATTTGAGTCAGAAGTTTTCCTTGATGTTGCATTGTTATCGGTGGAAGTAGAGGCTCAACGTACCATACCCTCCATAACCTCGTTGGTGAGTGCGTCACGGACTTCAATGGTGTTGGAGTCAGCTATGGGGTGTGTTAGCGAACCCTCGAGTACTATATTATACAGGTTTTTGGATAACAAGGATGGTATACCAGCGGGGGCGGCGAGCGTAGCGCCCAAGAGAGCAGCGACGGTGAAGAGTTGAGCGGCGAACTTCATGGTGACGGTTGCAAAGTGACTATGTAGAATTGACCTGATGATGCTGTGTGCTGTGAAAAAAAATCATTAAGGGAACTCATGCTCTTTATATGCTCTTTCGCTACTCTGACTTGGCACTTCCCTTCTACCAGACGGCGTCATCACATACACAAAATTCCGCATGCACATTCTGTTCTAGCGACCTTCTCGCAACTTGGCAGCATTCCGTAGTCGTAACACACATACCATAGAGTGACTAGATTCGGTAAAACCAACGCATTACACAAGCTGCGAGGTCCACATGTGGATTCACAGCATCTTCACATGTACAGCCACCAACGCCAGTGGATCGTGAACGGTGTCTACTAGCAGATATGTTGAGCGTCATTTCTAGTCCTCGGTACCATAAACTAGACGCTTTACAAGTCTAGTGGTGGGCCGGCCCGTCACCCCACAAACTACCTTCCAGACAGAGTGAAGACGATGAACGTTGGTGGCTGAACCACAGCGTAAGCGATGAGGAATCGGTGCGTCGGTAAGGAATCGGTTCATAGATCGGAGGCATGTTAATATGACCGATGTAACAGAACAAGAGGATATGGTTTTCCGCTATGCTGACTATCCGACTCTGTACCAATCGCCCTCAAGTCTGACAGCTGCGTATGAGAGTCCGTGTCCCGATCAGCGGAACGACTACCAGAGACGGGCTTAGCGTCATCTACGTAGTATCGGGAGGCCTTAAAGTCAGTTGCACTAAAGGAACGTCACGACACACAGGATCTAAGACACGTGGGTCAGACGTGAACGCCTAAATGTGGGGAAAAGAGTACTCTTTTAAGACATTTTCATAACAGAATAGGGACATGAAAGTGGCTTCGACACCCGGGCCGTCGGCCGCCAAGCCGACATCAAGCCCAGAAACCCGCATCCTTCAATCCTTGGATCGTTCCTCTGAATCCCACGACTTCCTTGGGATCGATACCGAGCTCCTCGGGGCTGATAAAATCATCTGTTACCTCCCACGGATCACACGCCTCGCCGTACTTGAACTGCAATGACAGCTCTGCGCCTGCTAGGCCGTGCAGCTGTGTAGCGGTTTCCGGGCTGATTTCAGCATAGACGCAGTTTTTGCCTGTGACCTCGGACCAGACATCAACCATTTGTTGGAATGTCCACTTTTCTAATGCAACGTTGGCGCAGCGGCCGAATGCTTTGCTTCCAGTGGCCAGCACTTGCCGCACCCAAATGCCGGGGTTGACGCTCATGTCGCCGGCAAGAAGGACTTTGGCATCTGGTTTTGTGGGGAGGGCTTGGACCCAGCGGCCTGTGTCTGGCTATTTATTGTGTTAGTATTTCGAGCATCTAAGGTTGGGATTTGCAAAGTAACTAACGTATTCAATAGGCTTGCAGATGGGGAAGAAAGCCATGTTCTGTGGATAGTACCCAAAGTACAGATATGTCGTTATAGCCGCAAGTTGAGGTAGCTCAGATTTGATGCGAGCATCGACATTCGCCTTGTAGTCCATATGCGGGACTTCCATCTTGCCCGAGAACCGGCGCTTGGCACTCGGACATGTCGACCAGATGTAGTGCTCTACTGTACGAGACGACGCAGCAGCCCGTGCTAGATTCATTCCATGGTGCTCTTCAATTTCGCCGCATTCGTGTTGCGTCTTACCCCGGAAAAGCGATTCCCACCAGTTAGTGACTGCGAAGACGGCATGTACGCCGTCGAACGCAGAGCGGAGAGAGGCCTCATCGTCAAAGTCGGCTTTTACCACCTCGATACCTTCTTTTGCGAGCTTTTTGGCGGCATTGTTGTCAGGATTTCGTGTAACTGCGCGGACCTTCCAGCCAGGTGTCTTCTTCATAATGTTTACTACGCCGCCACCCTGACTTCCGGTGGCACCGGTCACCGCAATGATTTTGACCTTTTGGTCAGGCCAATCCGGGATCGTGCCCGGCAGTCCGCTTGTTTCTCCATGCATCATCTCGAACCATGGCTCAAAGACAGCTTCGGTGCGCTTTGCGAATGCTCCGCTCTTATATCCTGGATGGCCCCAGTCGATGATTTCATCGTGTGCAGCTTCGATGAGCTGGCCAGTCTTGGTATTCCCCGCATCACAGAGGAAAAAATCGAAACCAGCTATTAGCGTCGATTGCAACGTCATCTGTTCCGGGCGGAAGGCCTTGCTAAAGCCAGGCATGGCAGGTGTCTCGATACCACCGGGCATCACGCAGTTGACAGTGATGTTCTCCTTGACCTGCAGGATCGGTCCCACCGTCTTGACCCACTGATGAACTGCGGCCTTTGCAGCGCAGTACTCAGGGAAGGTTTGGCAAGGATATATACCAATCATGCTACCAGTCACGACGACTTTGCCTCCCTTCCCCCCCGGGTTATATCGCATGAAGTGAGTTGCCAGTGTGGTTCCATATATCGTACCTTTCAGATCAATGTCAGTACAGGTGGTGTTGGGCTCCGCAGGCAAATCATCAATGGCCGCATCGCGGCGTGCAAAGTTGTAGACGGAGCCTCGATCTATACACCCGGCGTTGGCAATCAGTACATCAAGTCGACCCCACTTTTTCCAGACTGATTGAAAGAGGTTGGATTGTGAGGAGTAGGAGCTCACATCGCACTGGACAAACATTGCTGTGTTTTCGGATACGTCGAGCGAACGGACAACTGCCTGGCCCTCCTTCTGCCGTCTACCGCAGATGGCTACGCGGTAGCCATTACGATGAAGATGTGCTGCCAGCCATGAACCGATACCACCCTGTCATGTGTCAGTGTACTCATGGCGATCTCAAAAGTATAACACGACGAACCGTGGCACCGGTAACAATGGCGACCCTTTGTTCGTTCTTCGAGATCCGAACCATTATGCAGCACTTCCTTCCTCAAGAGTTTCTGAAACCAATGTTGGGGAAAATGTCACCTTATGCTCGCAGAAAGATAAGAAGTTACCACCCCTCTGGGTAGATGTACGCACGTCAAAGTCCACTTTATTGGATCCTTTTCAATGCCACTTTATGGGTTGAATCCTCCGCGGAACTGAAAAGAGAACCCATCGCTTGCCGACTAGCCTACATTTCTATCGATTGCAGAACAAAACGTCGCAGTCGCAGGATCTGGCCTGCGTGGCCCCTTCTCTTCCATCGGACCGTTTGTCTGGTATCTGCGTGTACAGACAGGCCTGGCACATGTACGTCCATCACCGATGTAGAACCGACGCGGCTCACTCTCAATTAACTTTGCACGAGCAATCCCGTCTATACTATTGAGTTAGTAAAATACTTTGGACAGAGCATGAACAGCAAACCTACCAAAGACACAAGTCATGCAACTGGGACGGGTGGGGGTACTATAATTTGCGGAAGACTGCACCCCAATTTCCACAAGCCGAGTCGGGCGTCCCTGGCCCGGTCGCTGATTGACGCCCACCAGGAAGGAATCGCGAAGTTATTCGACCGAGTCGCTTATCAGAAAAACTAACCAAAATCCGCATATCAACAATTGCCTCAGGTGATTGCGGCACAGTGCAGTATGCGCATTACAAATGAGGAGTTGCATCCTTTCGCTAAAAAAAAACGAGACTACACCAGAGCAGCGGTACCGCAGCTTACTGGCCCAATCTAAACGCATATGTAAGAAAAAGAGAACCCCTAAGTCCACAAAGAATCATTCCCGCTCGCTTCGTAGCCAGTATGCAACGATCCGCGCGCCGTTGGCGGTGTGCGCACAGCGGGTCGGTCAGATATGCGCGAACGTTGAGCATAAGAAAAACAAGAGTGAAGGGTGGAGCCAAGTCCCACAGGCCAAGTAAGTACATACGTAGTACTACTGTCATCCTTTGGTGCCGCAACTACGCCGCCTCAACAAACATATTCCTACAAGCAAAAGAAAATCAAGCCAAGGCGAACCTTACTTGTCCAAGCACAATTCGTAATAAAGACAGAACCTGTGCCACATGAGATACAAGGCTGCGCCGTAAGCAGTCTCATGCTCACGCTCACACCCACCCAAACGGCCGGACCCTCTCTCTTTCGCTCTCCCCACCCCTAATCGGACCTTCCTACTCACTGTGATCGCTGCATCTATCTCATGTAACGTATTTTCGACTCAGTCCCAAAAAAAAATGCAAGGCACGCGATTTATCGCACCCAACCCCCTCTTTGCAGATCCATTTCGTCTTCCACGGCGCTTCTTTTCCCTGGGCCTGCCGCACGAGCAGCATTGGATGGGCGCGGGACGAACGCGGATATGCGAGAGAATTTTTTTCCTTTTTTTAGTATGTGTCAGAAGAGATATAGAGGCAGGGGGGAACGGATGTAGAAGTAATAATAGATGAGATTTATACCCTGTGTGATCTTTTTGGCTTAAACATTGTTACGAAGTCTGTTGTGTGCTCTCATGGCCTGTTCTTGAAATTTTACGTACACTCTTTGTATTTGATTATTGGTTATTACTGATTTTTTGGGGAGGAAGAAGAAGAAGAAGAAGAAAGAGTGCAGACAGTTTCCGCTGGTGCTGGTGCTGGTGCTTGTTCCCCCCTCTTTACTAACCTACTTTTTTTTACTATGCATAATGCATAGGACGATTCCTATCGAGAATGGGCAGCAAGTGAGTGTTGTGGCTGCGAGTTCGATATCAATTTCGATTGCGGTTATTGCCGTGGGCTTGAGGCTTGTGGCTAAGAGGATACGGAATAGGGTTGATTGGAGCGATTGGTGTATCGTTATTGCTTGTGTGAGTTTTGTACTACCAGAGAGAGAGAGACTGAGTTGTTGTTTGGGTTGTTAACGTTTTCTTGATATAGCTGTGGAATGCGGCTTTGCACGGGACTTGCATTTCGCTGGTTACATATGGCGGGTTTGGATTCCATATTGCGGAAATCATGCAGCGGTTTGGACCGGAGACGACTACGTACTTCTTCAAGGTATTTTTCATTTATACTCTCTCTCTCTCTCTCTCTCTCTCTCTCTCTGTATACATCTAATGTTTTGGACTGCAGGGTATCATGGCCTTCTCCATGCTCTGGAACGCAACCGTATGCTTTAGTAAACTCTCTGTCTTACTCATGTACTCGGCCTTAATTCCCACACCCACCATGATGCGAATGAGCATCGCGTTCGGCGCCTTCATCGTAGTGTGGTGCTCCGCAAACATCATGGCCGCATTTCTCATCTGCCGCCCACTGGCGCGAAACTGGGACTTTACCGTACCTGGAACATGCGGAAGTCAACCGGATTTCTACTTCACAATGGGCATCGTGAATCTCATCACCGACGCCGTCCTCATCGGAATGCCCATGCCATATCTCTACAAACTCGTCATGCCAATGCGCAAAAAACTCCTCGCCATGGGTCTCCTCAGCATCGGAATAGGGTAAACCCAGTCCCCCCCAAACCCCTTATTCTCCCTCACCCCCCACTAACATCAAGACAAATAGCACATGGGCCATAACCATTTACCGCCAAACACTCCTCCCAGGCCTCGACTTCGCAGACATGACCCACTCCGGCGTCCTCGCCACACTCCTCTCAGGCCTCGAACCCGCCGTCGCCATCGTCCTCGCCTGCGTGCCTCTGCTCCGCCCTCTCTTCGGCAAACCACGCCAGAACCTCGACTCCGGGTACCAATACGGCAGCAAAAGCGGCAAGCAAATCAGCTTCATGTCGAAAAGAGGGGGAGGCGCATCGCGAGGCTTGGATCCAACAGCCACGTTTTCCGAACTGGTAGATCAGACGAATAATTCGTCGCAGATTGAGCTTAGGCCGGTAGAGGGGATACAGAGGGTTTGTATTTCGTCGGATGAGGAGAGGGGGAAGATGATGCAAAAGGGGGGTGTGTCGTCGAGGACGATTAGTGTGGAGAGGATGTGGGAGGTTAGGAGTCACTGATAGGGGATTTGACTGTTGTGCTTTATTGTATTAGTGCAGTCAGGAATGTTTAGAATGGAGGGGAATTGAATGAAAAAAAATGAAAAAGAAAGGGAAGCTTTATTGATGTTTTTTTTTCTGTGGCAAAGCGATACCAGACGGAGAATTCAACGACGTTATTAAGCTAAGAAACTAAGACTGTTTTTTTTGACGGCAGGTAGGGAAGTCTCTCGGGACTACAAGATGGTGCAAACGACGCCCTTTCTCTTCCTTGTCTCGAGCTTCCTGAGCTCGATCCCGTGGTAATCGTTCCTCGTCTCGAGCGTCTTGAGCTCTTGCCCGTAGAAATCGTGCCTTGGCACGAGCTTCTTGGACTTGTGTTCGTACTTCTTCGTGTCCTCATCTTCATGGTGTCCCTTATACTCTTTCTTGTGTTCGTCGCCGTGGTGCTCCTCGTCATTTCCTTCGTGATGTTCCTCCTCCTCGTGATGCTCATGCTCTCCGTGCTTCTCATGCTCTTCTTCGGCCTCGTGGTGCTCCTCCTCCTCATGGTGCTTCTTCTCATTATACGCCCCAATACGGGGGGCCCCGCATCCACTCTCAGTACAAAGCTCCACGGGGTATAATAGCTGTCTCTTGCTATCCGCCAGGGCCACAGCATCGGGAGTCGACGTGTTACGCACCGGGGTGGACATTACAGCGGCGGCGAGAGCGGTGGTGGTGAGGAGGGTTGATGGGTGCATTTTGGATTTGGGGGTACTGGGAAAGTTAGATTGGGTTGGGGCGAAAGGGGAGTGGGAAAGGAATGGAAGTACTTTAGCGTTTATATCTTCTTGACAAGGGACTCGAGGCTGCTAGAGGTTTGGCAGGAGATGGAGATGCGAGGGAGGAAGAAGGAGATGATATATACACAAGCAAGCCAGTGACGAACCATGGTATCTTCATATCATCTCTCCCCCTCTTTCCATTTGAAAAGGGGCGGTGTCATGGTGATGTGTACCGGAAACATCAGTGCGGTACCGGTTACACATACACAAGATGTATTCGGATAGGGTGCGTAATATTGTAAGAAGACGGTTGGAAGTTACATCATAACTCTTCATTCAAAGCAACCATACTTACTCTATATAGAAACCCCGAATAAGGATCCAAACCGACCCTACAAATCTATTCCCAACGCCAATCATGCAAAACGGGGTATCTTCCGTAGCCCAATCCAGCCCATAGCAAACCCCCAACCAAGTAAATGCAAGAAAGACCCTTCCCTCCCAACACCCCCAACACTGCTAACCTATGTACATCGCCTCCTTAGCCCCCTCCTTCAAACACCCGGATACGGCACGACCCCTGGAAAAAACCTCATACAATCATTCATCAGCACACCCCCAGAATCCAGCCCAAACTGCGCCTTAACAATCGTCTCCACAAAACACGTCACCGCCTGCGTTCCCTGAACCGGAAACCCACCACTGAGTCCCCGCCCCCTCGTTGCCGGCTTCCCGCCTTCATTTCGTGCCAACTCGACGATAATAGGGAGGTCGGACACGTCGAAGATGGCGGAGTCGTTGAGATCGAATTCTGTAGCGGGACCAGTGAGGTAGGACCATGTGGTGGCCCAGTGGATGTCGTTTTCGCGGCGGTAGTCCTGGCGGCCGAAGAAGAAGAGGGGGTTGTTGCGGACTGGGGAGGAGAGGAGGGGCGGGGTGCCCTGGAGGTTGATGCTGAAGAGGGTGGTTGGGGCCAGGCCGAGGGAGGTGGCGACGGAGCCGCCGAGACCGTGGCCTACGATGCCGTAGTTTGTGGTGCGCAGGCCGGTGGTGGAGGAGAAGGTGAAGGAGCTGAATTGGCGCTGGAGGAGCTCGGCGGAGTTGAGTTGAGAGAGCACGAATTGGACGTCGGAGATGCGGGTGTCGATTGCTTTGGTGACAGTCTCGTTCCAGGCGGTGAGGGGGGAGAAGTTGGAGAGAGAGACGGTGCCGCTGTTGTAGACTGTGTCTAGGGCGCGTCGGCCGTTGTTGGGGAATTCAACGATTGAGGCGTCGCCTGGGTGGTCGACTAGTACGACTGCAGCTCCGTTGGCGGCGATGAAGCGGGCCATGGTTGAGTACAGTAATCTGCTCGTGTCGACGTGTGGCTCTAATACCACTACGGGAATCTTGCTTGCATCGATAGATGCTGAGCTCTTGCAACAGGCGTTGTAGGTCATGTCTTCAAAGACACCAATGTCACGCTGTCCGCCAACAATGAACTGCTCATTGGCAATTCGAGCAGTCTGTGGTGGCATGTAGCTATTCTGACACTCGCTCGAGCAAGAGTCTCTGGGGATAGGCATGAACAGGCTGACCATGACGCGGCGGTCTTCTGTGGAAAAGTATGGATCCTTGCGTGTGGTGTCTGTTAGAGGAAAATGCGAGACGGCAACCTTGAACCTGTGGTTGTTATCTGCCCCAGGGATTTGAACCGCATGGCTGCCTCTGGAGATAACAGCAAGCACAAGGGTAATGGTGAATCCTAAAAAGGCCACCATAATGAATGTTCGAACAGTGTTTGCAAGGTACTGGTTGCGACGAGTGGTGAAGTCAAGTTTAGTAGGCGGAGACATTGAGGACAACGCGTCACTTATATTTTATTGAATCTCTGCGCGTAGACTATTTCGTCTACACAAGTGAGAGTGTAATTTTAATTATGCCGAGCTAAGAGCGGCGGTGTGATCGAACCCTATGATGGCAAACGGACTTGCGCGCGATGGTCGTGTGACTGTCACCACGTGCGCGCTGGTTCAAAATGTTTCTCAAACACAAACACATGGCTGCAACAGTGGGACAGTGTTCCTTGCGATACTTGACGATGTGACTGTTGCCTGTGATTCATTTTCCTTGGTGCGTAGAGACGGCGTGCCTCTTGACAAGGTGCGCCAAGCCAATATACTGGGGTACTGGGTAGTTCCTTAGTAGTATCTCACTCCTTTACCCCACATATTTCTCCTGCTCACTAGAATGGAAAGAGTAGGTGAAAGTGAAAGACTGCTACAACGACCGGATACGCTTGAAAAAGACGCTAGAGAGAGAACCAGAGAACAAGCACTGATGGAGGAGGAAAAGGACGAAATGGTCGGTTTTGCTAGTCTATTGTAAGACTACATTAGCTGTCATATCTTGTAACTTTTTTTTTCAAAAAAAAAAACTCCAGCTCTTCCCGTCTAAACCAAAACGAAGCAAAAGATGCGGCCGTGTCGTCATGAAAATTGGATAAAGGGGATGGGGTATAATGTAATTTCCACAACACGGAAGATCCTCGACCAGGGCACCCCGGAACTGTGTGGAGAACCCAACTTCAAGAACGCGGGTATCCAATCTTGTTGTCGAAACGCTCTAAAATCCCCTGAACCAGAGACTAAAGATAGTGTGCAAACAAAAGATGTGAAAAACGGGGTAAAAGTGTGTAACAAGATATGCTTAAGCAGAGTCCAGAGAGGATAGAGACAGCCTCTTGCGCTTTTCGATTGGGAGTCGCTTCCACATGCCGACATGTTCAATACCCTCTTCGAACCAATGAGGTTCGGCGTCTATCTCGACATGACCGTCTTCGTTCCTGAGCTGCTCATGAAATCCGTGCTTCTCCCACATGGACTGTAGGTTCGCCTGTGCGTGGATCATAACAAGACCTTGCCATGTAATTTCCCTCTCCTTTTGGTGGCCGAGTATTTGGGCCATCTCCAATGCGGTGGGAGACGGGGGACGGTAGATCGAGTCGGGGTTCGCTGTGGCGTAATCGAGTGCGGCGTTGATGAGTAGCTTCGCAAGACCGAGACTGCGGTAGGGAGCAAGTACAGCAAGCCTGCCAAGCTTGATATATGGCTCCGCTGGTTGTTTGTGCTCCTGGTCGTGGGTCGGGGGGTCTGCGTCGGGATGCTTGTCTGTTTCGTGGTGTTGGACGTACTTGTTCGGGCCGTGGGGCGGAGGAATCAGTCGGATCGTCGCAACTGGCACGCGCGTAGCAGTAGCAGATGCGCGGCGGACGTCATCTGCAGGCGTGTTGCCCGAGTCAGCACGGCGCAGCACCTTGGGTGGTGATGTCGAGTGTGTAGCGACAGAGGCGTAGGCAACCCAGTGCCAGCTGCGGGCATCGTCCTCGTCGAACTCGGCTTCGAGCGGAACGCCTTGCTCTCCAAAGACGACCTCGCGGACAGCCATGGCATCGCGAAAGTTGGAGGGGACAGAGATGGTCTGCCTGCTGCATGGCAGAGAATTGTCGTAGCCCTCAAGGGCGCCCTTGAGCGGGCAAATGGTGTTGACAAACTCGGTGCCCGGATTGGGACCTCCCAGCGGCGCACTGTTTGGCGAGCCAAAGCCGCCCTTGAGTACACTGGTCATGGTGGTGTAGACGATGGATTTGCGGCCGGGGTATGTGGTGATGTGGCGTTGGGAGTTGTGGCAAAGAGCGAAGTTTGTTGGGCGAAGGATGCGGTTGTAATTTGTATTCTAGGAAAGGCTGCGTCACAGTTGCACGGGCAAAGTGTGCGCGGCAGTCGTCGTCTTCAAGCTTAAGTATTCCAGGTCAGCCCTGCTTGATGCGCAGGCGTGGTGCGCCCGACTCTATAAAGAGGGACTCGAGCATAAACGTCTGCCTCAGTGGTACATTGAGTAGCAGGCGGGAAACTCTGTTTCGGGTCCCTATGTTTCAGGCGCAGTCAGGGTCCAAGGATGCAGCCCTAGGCTCATAGCGGCAGCAAAGGCTGGAGATCAGATGGGCGAGCAGGTCAAAGGTTGCAGATGAACACACTATGAACCCAATCAACCCCACAGTCTGTCGACTGGTGATGTCACAGGCCTGGCACGCTTGCCCGGCCCGCACGGGACATGGCTGTAGCACCGTCACCCACCAATCATATGGGTGCTTCGGGCATGTGCTTGGGCTGTGAATAGTCTACTGCTTGTGGCGATATCACCATATGTGTGCCTCACGGTAACCTAGCGTACTTGTACCCGTGAAACCTGGCCCGTTGCCGTTGATGGCAGTCCTCCTACCAGGCCGCCAGGAAGGCTGTGTAGACGCGAAGAAGGGTGGCGCAAATCCTTCAGTCCTTGGCCAACTGCAAATCCCATCAGATGCCCAAGACTCTGAATCCGTTTTTCTCCATTACGCATTTCAAACACGATGCATTTGCTTACAGGCGGGGACGCTCCTCCAGACCCTTTGCAACGCCCCTACTGATCCAATCGCTAATAGCCATGTTCGTTACCATGGGATTGACCCCACTAGCACTGGGGAAAACACTTGCGTCCGCCACGTATAACCCCTCTGTGCCCCAAACTTTGCCCTGGGGGTCGACAACACCCTCCCATTCTTGCGCACTCATGCGACACGTTCCCATCTGATGTGCAGACACAAACATACTTTCGGGCGACTGAAAGCCCTTGGCCTCGACCTCTGCGAGCCATGCCTGGAATTCAGGGTTATTGATGCCGTCCCCCAACGGCGCCGATGGGTCCCGAACAAATGACCTCAGGCCAGGTATGGTTGTGAAGATTTCTTCTGCGCCTTCGATGTATTGGATCTTCGCCAGGGCCAGAATACCTTCCATGATATTTTGCCTGTCAAACTTGCTGACTTGGTACGAAACTCGCACTCTGCCATCGATGGGATCCGGATACACCCTTCCTGCATCTTTGTCCTTAACAATGGAAATATAACCCACCATGTGCTTTAGCCTGGCAGCACCGAGTTTCCACTGTAAGCCTCCCTTCCAATCTACCCACATGAGACCGGCAGATGGTATCATGTTGGTGGCTTCAAGCTTGGCACCATGGCCTTTACCATCAAGATTCTCGAATTCGCCAACGACAGCCGTTAGGATGCCCCCTTCCCAGGGTTTGATTTCTGCCTTGTGGTAAGCACCAAGAAATGTGACAGGATGAAGATACAGGTTCTGGCCGATTCGCGGGTTCTTGAGACCAGAGCGCATCAGCAGTAGAGGAGACTGCAGTGTGCCTGCCGAGACAATGACGCGCTTTGCCTTGATTAGCACCTTGCGCCGATTGACAGGCGAACCTGCTACTCCACCGTTTATGTCACGAGATACCCATGTTCCTTCGACGCCCATGGCTACCTGTTGACCGTTTTGCGTAGAAAAAACAACCTTTTCGGCATGGAAACCTTCGAGAAACTTTGCGCCTGCACGAGCCGCATCCGGTAGGAACGACACTACCGGCCCTTGTTTCTCACACGAGCCACAGCCAAAATTGCAATAGCCACAGTAATGCTGTCTTCCCCCAGTATTCTGGGGAACTGGCTTGGCATTCCATCCTAGTTTCCTGGCACCATCTAACAACATCATGTTGCCCGGATTTTGATTGATATGCTCAGTCGAGACGCCCATCCGGTCACAGACACGGTCTAGCGACTGCTGAAAGTCTGCAGATGTAAAAAAATGCAGGCCTCGTGCTGCCCATTCGCGGCGGACGTAGCCCTGGGTCTGGAGAGAAGCGGACCAATTGACTGTTCCTCCTCCACCCAGAGACTGCCCTGCCACGACGCTGACGGAAGCATCGTCAGACGTCAAGAAGGAGCCGCTCATGAAGAGATGGTGCCACCCATCAACTTCAGTCATAGGATAGTGGTCCGGAGTCCAGTGATAGGCCTTTTCGACAATCAAGACACGGTGCCCTGCTTCGGCCAGGTTCTTTGCAGATACGCCGCCTCCACAACCGCTGCCCACAACGAGCACGTCTGTTTCAATCACCTCAGGATCACCACCGGGAGGAATCTGGATAAACTCATAGTTAAACCCTTTACCCGGCCGCATGCCAATTGGCACTCGCGGTAGACCTACAACACGGCGCAAAACCGGCGACGTCTTGATCCACGCTTGCTTGCAGAGAATGGTGAGTGAGCGACGCATCTGCCGGAGTGGCCCCAAGCGAGCGCTTCCCCAAGCGTGGAGAATTGACTCTCGAACATGGACGGGCTGGGCGCTAATGGGAGTGAGGTATCCAGTTAGGAACAAAGACCCCGGTCTGGTATCAAGCAAGTCGAGCACCATGGCCAATTCCTTCCTCTGGCTATGGGGCATGTACATGGCGAATACTCGCTGCATCTCTGCACGGAATGCGGGGTCCTGACTTGCATATGCGGCCAAGTACTCTTTGGCAACCGCCCCAGCATCAGGGTCGGTCTCGGGTATGCGGGCCCTCAGGGTGCTGATAGCAGTAGAGTAGTCTGCGTCAGCCGCAGCAATATCAGTTTGCGCCGTAGCCGTCGAGGCGGGCAGGATGGCAGGAATGACGGCATCTGCAATGGCAAGCAGCGTGGTCCATTGCGCGGGCGTGAGCGGATCTTCAGCAGGGAGTGGAGGCAAAGGTGTAGCTCTCGGCGAGATGGGTTCGGTCTGGAGTGGTGTTGCCATGTCGCCACGTAGGTTGGGATTTCAGGGATAGCCTTGATATGTTGCGCAAGCGCTCAGAGGGTCTGAAGTGTGGAGCAGCGGAGCATAGTACAGACATAGGCGTCTGTCTGTCTGTCTTGTCGAGAGTGAACGGCCGGAGGGGGTGGAGCGGGCGCGTCTTGTCGTTGTCAGCCGTGCCATTGTTTGAGCTTGACAGGCGGCAGCTGGGCGGAACGGAACCTCGGTCTAGATGGGCGCAAAGGCAAAGCTTCGCCACTAACTAGAGGAAGATGCACGGACTTGGTGCATGTCTCGTCTTGTCCTATCCAGCCGCAGTGCGTGGAAGCAGGGGAGCGCAGGGAGAGCAGAATCGCCAGATCCATACGAGGGACACAGGCAGCTGTCAGTGGCAGTGGCAGTGGCAGTGGCAGTGGCAGTGGCAGTGCCGGAGCCGATGTCAATGTCAATGCGACTGAGATCCAGGGATGATGGATTGCGGAAGACGTCAAAATGTCTGCAGGGTTGCATATGCACAGACTGACGATTGAGCGACCGACGTCGTACGAGTCATCGGATCCAGCCCTACACTACCACTATCCACATGTCCTCTGGGTCATGGCAGATGTCCAACAGTAGTAGCACGGCCAGGCCAGTAGGACAGCTATAGTAGTACCATGCAAACAAGAATGCTCCGAAGTTGAGGCGGATCGTGAAGCTGGCTGTGGACCTCTGACCCTCACCGACGGCATGTTCCAAGAGCAAGCAGCGCGGCGGGCCCTGTCTAGAGAGGACTATTGAGCGGATCCGATGTGATTGGCAGTCCCACCCACCCACCCACGCACACACACACTTGCAGCTCGTCTTGGAACATCGTGAAGTTCGGCCGCAATATACTGGGTAATGAGGACGGGCGCGCCTGGCGACGGCTATTTCTGAGGCGTGGCTGGTGGCTGCATGCATGGCATGGCATGGCATGGAGGGAGTAGTGGCTATTGCCCCGCCAGTTGTTGCAGACTCGCCGCATCTCAGCGGGCTCTCCCTCTCCCAGCAGCGCCTCTCGCGGCACACCTGCCTGGTCGTGGCTAGCATCTCTCGATGGGTGATGATGGGTGATGCAAGATGCGGGTTCTGAGGACAGCCATGGCAGATGTACACAGGTATTTGCTCGTATTCAGCAGCCGTCAATGCCTATCATGGCCGCGAGATGACGACGGGATCAGCAAGCGAGGTCGCTCGCTCTGCAGCTCAATGATTGCTCGAGGTTAGGGTTTACGACTGACGCGGGCGTTCCGCCCCTCGGAGATGGTCGAGTCGATGTGGCCAGGGATGCTGTGCATATGCGCGGGCCGTGATTGGCCAGAGATAAGAGGCGCCCAAATGGGCAGAGTGGGGCCCAACGGCTGGCCACCTCGACCGCAGATGCAACGTTGTTCGCACGAGACAGGAGCAAGCACGCAGTCTGCAAAAGCACAGTGCACACACCTACGTAGACGGCCATGGTCATGGTCATGGTCATGGTCATGGTCATGGTGAATGGAGATACGCGGCCGTTGGGCTACCCCAGCAGCGTTCCCTGCCCTTTTGTTTTCATTGTTGCTTTTTGATGTCATTGCAGCGGTGTATGGCGGGGCAGGGTCGAGTCGGAGGCGCGCGCATGCTCGCGGTTACCATTGCAATGCTCAAAGAAAAAAACACGGCGGCCGGTCGTAGCCCGATGATACCCTTGTCGGCTGGTCGCTGGTCGCTGGTCGCTGGTCGCTGGCCCTTCACTCGGCTGCGCCAAGCACCGCGGCCATAATTCCCCATCAGGCGACCGCCTCCCCCCCACCCCGTCAGTTCGTTGTTGGTAATGGTTACCAGAGCCGCTGGCTGGCCTTGACTTAATTCACCCTGTCCCCAGAGCCTCACCCCAGCTCCTCCGCACTCACGCGACACCAACTGCTGCATTGCCTTGGTCTGCCCTATACGCACACTCGCATACAACCACCCACCGCCTGCCTACTACCATCTCTACTCTACACACGTCCTTTCGCCGCCTATCATCCTTCCAACCCTGGTACTATGCGCTGCTAGCTCCACGGTTGACTGCGTGGCCCCGGCGTCCTCCTCCATCGCTTTTCTTATCGTCTGCACGTCAGCTACCAATCGACTTGCAGCCCGACTCTCCATACACCCCTACCAGGAACTGCGCTCATCACTTTGAGCCTGTCTGCCAGGATAGCCTCTGTTGCACCACTGCACAAGTACTGGTGGCCTCCCGCTCAGCCACGACTTGAAACCACACACGCCTGTTCCTGTGCAATCGCACCAATACTATCCCACCACTTTCACCGCCTGTGCTGTCCTTGTCCACGTCTCCCGACAGCCCGATATTTTATACCTTGACGTCGCGCCTCCAAGCCCTCACTACTACACCCCCACCTCTTCCCACCAACCTCCAGTCAACATGGCCACGACCTTCTCCACCACCACCACTACCACCACGACCTTCCCCCAACACGCGCCCTATCAACACCACGCATACCGCAAGTCGACGCACTCGCAGTACTCGCCCACAAACTCGGCCATCAACACGCCAGCAAACATCTCTCCCACTTCACCTCGCAACACACATCTGCCCCTCTCCCGCCACCAGGGCATCTACCAACCCAGGACCGCCATCGGCATCCCCGCTGCTCTACGCAAGACTCAGAGGCCCGCCAGCAAGTCTCCTCCCAAGCAAGACTCGGGCGCAGAGTCCAACAACACCAACCCATGGTCGACGAATGCCGGCTTTGGATGGGCTGCCAACGACGGCAGCATCACACCCATCTCTCACATTGGCAACGAAGACATGCAGAGCCTCTACAGTCCCGAACCCTTGTCTCCCGTTGCCGGACCAATTACACGGAACCACTGGCAGGTATGTTATTATTACTCTCTCTTCTCTCTTTCGTCCCTGCTCGCCCCGTGCATCCACCCATGTCGCGTGCTCAGTTGGGGGCTCGAGGGTCCCGTCTTACGTACATGGCCGAAGTGGACCTCACTAGCGTCGTGCTTGTCGGTCCTCCCGCTGTCTGCTGAGCCGAGATGCCGAGCGCTTGCTACTTGCCACATTTCAATAAATCTGTCGGCAAGATGCAAGACTCCACGCTCGATGCCCACTGCTGCAGTTCGGCCAATATCGCTACCTCTTGGGTAGCGTAAGGCGTTGGGAAATTCGATCGTCTTGCATGCCCACCGACTTGCCACTTTGGTCGCTAGGCCATCGTCCACCCCCGCGCTAAAGAATTTACCCGATGCAGGGCTTGATCTCATTAGCACGCCAAGCTCTTTTTCCCTCTAGTTGTATCGAAAGTCCAGACCAATGATACTAACCGACTTCTTTAGGCCGATGCCTCCACTTTGGTCTGCTCAGCGTCGTCTTGCCAGGAGCCCTTTGGATTCTTCCAGCGCCGTCACCACTGCCGCAAGTGTGGTGGCATCTTCTGCGCACAGCACTCTCGCAACCAAGTCCGCCTTGACGAGCTTGCGCGCTTCCATCCCCAAGGTCACTGGCACCGTGCATGTGATCGTTGCCACAGCTCCTTCCGCGAGTGGGAGCATCTCCGCTCCAGCCGAACTAACAGCGAGAGCTCTGACAGCAGCGGACCGGCCCCGGCAAAGTCGATTCAGACTCCCGCGGTTGCGAAGCGGCCAGATAATACCCGCGTGGGCAGCTTGGCGCAGAGCCTCCAGGGGACCTGGAACTGGAGCACTTTCTAAACACCTGGCGCCTCCATTGCCCGAATGCTTTGCAGCTGGGCCGTGTTTTCTACTCATGTCATACCTTCTCTCGATGATATCCGGATGATTACGATTGCCGCCGCATCGGTCACTCCACCTTTTCGGACTTCAACCAAAGTCCCTGCATAACATTTGCATAATAATGGCGTCTTGCTTTCACCAGTCGGGTTGGTCTTTGTCATTTCAGCGTTTTCCTTTTGCCTCTTTTCGGGCCACATTCACCCAGGGCAGTTGCTCTCCGTTTTTCAAATCAAACCCTTTTCACGGCCGACGAGATATCCGGAGTAATGAGTGTCAGTTGGGTTACTACAATTAGACGTTTCCGTACGATGGACGAGGGGATGGAGAATGAGGCGGATGGTCGACAGATATGGCGTTTGTCTGTTCATGGGGTCTGGTTCAACATCATGTCTGTTTATCTGTGTACTGTTATAGCGTCTCAACATGAGCGAGGCTCTTAAGCCATCATACCATGCGACCTAGTTGTCGTTAGAATGAACATTGGTATAACCTGATGCGTGCAATATTTCAGAATGGATTGAGTGAGGGCAAAGGCGGACTTTTAACCTTTGAGTCGGCATTGCCATATAGCACCGTGATGGCGTGATTGCGACCAGGGGATGAGCTAAGGACAGAGTCGTCATCAGTCGCGTGACCGCGTTGAAGGTTTGAAACAGCGTGTGTTATGTCGATGACGTTGTATATATTCGTATCCTGTGAGGCCGGACTCCTATTGATATCGAGGGTGTTCGTGACAGACCTCTTTGCCTAGCTTGAACGAAGGCGAGCTTGATGTACGAAGATGCAGTGTAGTGCAGCAGCACACGACTGGTCACAATGTCACAAGCGGAAATTAAAATGCCAAAAAGCAAAGTGCCAATGACAAGGTCTTGCTGCATAACACATTATGACTCTGACGAACGTATGGTCAACGCTCGTCGCACTGGGCTGGTGCGGAGCTTTAGCGAACGCCGATTGGTTGGCCCCAGCGGAGTAGTAAATGTCGTTTTTTTCTCCGCCATTTCACCATGACCCTAGCCCTGTCTTTGATCAATCCAGGAACCGTGACACTTGGCGGAGAACATCCTGGACGACCCTGAGCGCATCTGGCATTCGACGTCATACGCTCCTTCTTGTTCAAGGCGTTTGGGGGCGCAATCGCCCCCACGAAAGCGGTCCGAGTTGCACGACGACAGTTCGGCATCATGGCGACTACTACAACTCAGACGGTGCAAGGGGATGCTGCAGGAGTGTTGCATAGCAATGGAACGGTGCAGGCAAACGGGAAACCACAAAAATTACACGGGCGCGCATTCTATGAGAGCATTGGAAGCCCGAAGCTTGTGCTTGCGCCCATGGTGGAACAGTCAGAGTTCGTATGTTTCCATGACACTGTTACGCTCTCCCTTCAAAATCGCAGGCTAACAGTAACATCTCCATAGGCATGGCGACTTCTATCGCGCTCTTTCCTACCCGAGTCCGAGAAAGGATCCCTCTTAGCGTATACGCCCATGTTCCACTCCAAGATGTTTGGCGAGAAGAGCCAGTACCGGGATTCGCACTTCCAACCCCTCAAGTCGCCTCTTCCTTCACCTGTAGATAACTACCACTTGTCTCAGCTCCCTGATTCGAGCAGACATCTTGACGGCAACCCAGCCTTCGACAGGCCCCTCACTGTCCAATTTTGCTCCAACGATCCAGACGACTTTCTCAGAGCAGCCAAGCACGTTGCGCCATTTTGCGACGCGGTAGACTTGAACTTGGGATGTCCCCAAGGAATTGCAAAACGAGGAAAATATGGCGCATTCTTGCAGGAAGACTGGGATTTGATTGCGAGAATGATTCGGAAACTACATGAGGAGCTTGATATTCCCGTCACGGCGAAGATGCGAATTTTGGAGACCCCAGAGAAGACATTGGCATACGCAAAGACAATACTAGATGCAGGCGCAAGCATCCTCACAGTCCATGGTCGGCGGAGAGAACAAAAAGGTCACAACACGGGATTAGCAGACTGGCAGATGATTCGGTATCTGCGAGAAAACCTGCCCAAAGAGACTGTGCTATTCGCAAACGGAAACATCCTACAGCACGAGGATATTGCAGCGTGTCTAGAGGCAACAGGTGCAGACGGAGTAATGAGTGCAGAAGGAAACCTTTACGATCCAACCATCTTTGCGCCCCCGCCACCTGTAGGTCAGGAAGGGCGTGAATACTGGAGGGGTCGGGACGGCAAGGGTGGATATAGAATGGATGCTGTAATGAGACGGTACATGGACATCATACACAAGTACGCGCTGGGTCAAGAACCTCCTCAACGGAAACCGTTATGGATGCCTGGAGATTCTGAGGAGCCTCCAAAACAAGAAGAGGTAGCCAGGTCGGACGAAGAGGATGAGGAAGGCCCACCAAAGAAGAAGAGAAAGCAAATTTCCAAATCTGAGAAAAAGAAGGAGGCGTCAAATCCAAACCTAACGGCCATGCAGGCACATCTCTTCCATATGCTACGGCCGCTCGTCGCAGAGCACCACAACGTACGAGACGCACTTGCACGTTCGCGAACAGGCGACATTGATGCGTTTGAGAATGTGCTTATTCTGGTCGAGGCAGCTGTCAAAGAGGGGATGCAAAAATACGAGCAGGAGGAAGCCAACGCCACAGACGCACCGGTTGTTCCTGAGTCTACCGCTGAAGACACCTCCGCAGTATCTCCCAAACCCCTCGACCCGTACGAGTCTTCACTAGCCACTGTAGCTCGCTGCAAACGCCCTTACTGGGTTTGCCAGCCCTATGTCCGACCGCTGCCAAAGGAGGCCTTGGAGAAGGGCAGTATGACAGTTAGTAAGAAGGAGAAGAAACGGTTGGAGCAGCAGGCGGAACAGGCTGTTAACAAGGAAGATGCAGAGGTCAAGGATACGGGTTTGGAACCTGGGGGTAGGGTAGAAAAGCAAGTGTTGTCGGATGAGAAGGGTGAGGGGAAGCAGGTTGTTGAGGAGCCTAGGGATGGGTTGGTATGTGGATAGTTGGGCTAATTAGGTCGACATATACCCAGTGAGTGAGGGGTGTAGTATGAGATGATATAACATGTGAATCTATCCTAGGTTAGTGTTTTCCTGTTGCCGTCTTTTACCATCTCCTTGCACAGTACGAACTCAACATTTGTTATCGATTTCTGCAAGTACATTCACCATTCGACATGCGGTTCCTTCTTGACTCCCCAAGCACTTGCCGAAATGCCTTCCCCAGCAAATACTGCCGCTATAGTCCTGCCTTCTTTAAACACCTCTGTTTTTCCAACTTCATCACCTGAGATTCTACAGGCTTCAATCTTTCGAACCTCCCCCCCCCCCCCCCCTCGTCAAAGCCTAATGACTCTAGCCAGCAAAAAACCGTAAAAGCATCTGAAGGCCTCACTAGCCACCTCTCCTCCACAAAGCGAGAAAGAAAGTAAGAAAGCCAGAAAAAATGGAAAACTCGCCCTCTCCCCCTTCCTCTTCCTTCCCCCTATAACTTCTTATAAACAGATCCGCAAACCCTCAAGAAAATCCCACAAACTCCGCCTCCGAGACGAAGTCCTAGGGCCCAACCGCCCTCTCCACGCCACAATTCTCATCAACGCCCTCAAAGCCTACGAACCAGACACTCGGCGCCTCGCACCCCTCCTCTCCTCCCTCACTTCAGGCCACACACTAGTCTACTTCGTCGACGCCTCGGTCGGCACCCGCGGTCCCCACCGCGGCCTAATGGGCGTGGGGATAATCCAGTACAAAGACACCTACACCCTCCGCTCCCCCGGTTCCTCCCACGACGCCGAAGTCCTCGCCCTCTCCCTCGCCCTGTCTCACGCCCGCCAAATAATCTCATCTGGAGAGGCGTCATAGTGCGAGCGCGTAGTGATATATTCAGACTGTGCGTTCGTACTGCGTGGGATGGCAGAGGGGAATCTGACAGCGCTGGGGCCGCGGGCGGGGGGCAAGATGACGTTGGAGGGCGTGTATGAGGGGTGTGAGTGGTTAGGCGAAAGAGGGGTAAAGGTGGAAATTGAGTGGGTGAAGGGGCACAAGGGGAGTGTGGGGAATAGGTTGGCGGATGGGATGACGGGGAGGGGGGTTGCTGAGGGGGCTGGGAAGGATGGGGGTGTTGGGGTTTCAAGTCAAGAGATGGGGAGGGGTGGATGGGGGATTGAAAATGCGACGGTGGGGTTTGAAGAGGAGGGAGGAGGAGGAGGAGGAGATAGAGGGAAGTTTGGAGGATCGATGGGTGGACTATGGCAGGCTATGACGCTCCCTTCGAGTCCGGTACTAGGGTGTCAGAGTACGACTTATATTGGCACCGATACGGAGTCTACACTGCGGAATCCAACTCACGTATTTCGAAACTCCTTCGGCGCTGGTACGCATCTTGAGCAGCAAATGAGTATGATACAATTCAACATCGCCGCCCGCGCAGCTAGAATCAAAGAACTGAAGAAAGCCGAGCCAGCGATGGGATATAGGGATGTTGATGTTGAAGCGCTACTGCAGCATCTACGGCAAGAACAGAGCGAAGCACAGATGCGGCTGTGGAAAAAGTCGCAGGAGAAATGGTTGCATGATTATCTGGCCAAGGGACGGAGTCTCGGTCTCGTGGCGCCGGGGACGGTGTATGCGGTGCAGGATGCGAAGAAGGGATGTTGGGTTCGGCCTGGACCCAGGGAGTTCGATGTCGTTTGTATTTCCGATATAGATGCGGAGAAAGGGACGATGGGGTATACTCTAGCTGAGGGCGAGTGGGTGGGCGATTTACTTCTCAGCGCGTTGAAATGAGTACTGTCTTGTCAAATATACAATGTGCAAAACTCTACACCCCCTTCTACCCATATAAAAACACCCCTACACCCCCCTCCTCTCCAGAACCTCATCCACCCTCCGCAAATACCCCCCCGCAACCCCCCACCGCCCCGAAACCCACTCCACCAACCTCCGAAATGCCCTCCCTTCCTCTTCCCCAACCACCCCATCATCCTCCCCATCATCCACCCACCCCCGTGTCTCCAGCACCGCAACCCCAGCCCTAACCACACACCCCAACCCCGCAAACGGCAGTCTTGAAATCTCCTCTTCACATGTGATAATGCGTATTCCCACTTGCACCATATCCCACGCCATGCGCCGCGAAGCCCTCAGCGCAACTTTGACTTTCTCGCCTTCCTCTCCTTGTAGTGTTGAGTACTGCATCTGCGTAAGCTGGAGAATAAGATGCGAGCAGAATGCTAGCGCGATAGAATCGCAGTGGAGCCAGGTATGCGGTTGTGGTTTATCGATTAGGAGGGTGATGAGAGTATTTATCTTCTCATCTGCTGTGGTGTAGTTACGGGGTAAGGGTAAATTATGCGTCAGTGCGTACGTGTAGGATAGAACATGACTCGCTGATACGGCTGTGGCGCTGCGGATGTGCGTTTTGCGTGGGCTGGTGGCGTCCGGGATGGGTGGGGGTGCGGGGATGGTGTCTGGGAGGGAGGAAGCGAGGGAGATGACTAGGGGATCGGAGGGGAGGAGGGCGAGAGGGAAACCAGGGATGAGGTGGGTTGTAGAGAGAGTTGTGGAGAGGAAGAGGATACTGGAGGTGAGCCAGTCTGGGACTGGGGTATGGGAGGGGGAGAGGAGGAGGAGGTTGAAGAGGGAGATGCTGGTTGAGAGGGTGAGGTATGCGGCGTGGGATTGGCCATGGCCTGTTTCGTAGATTGCTAGTAGGAGGGATATTTGCAGGATTTGGACACTGATTTGGACACTTGAGTGAAGGAGGGCGAGGACTTGCTTGAGGGCTAGGTAGAGCTGGGGTTGCGTGGTGTGGGCTTGTTGTACGCAGGTCCGGCGGGTGACGAGCCAGAGACATAGTAAGAGTAAGGGATGGCGTAGTCTGTCTTTGTGCTGGGATTGCTGCGACAGATCTTCTATCTCCCCGTAGAGATAGGACGTAGGGAATACGGGACACCACTGCTGTATGCAGGTACCGAACTCGTCCAGTGCTAGTGTCAAGTCTACGTCGGCTAGGTCGAGGATTTCGTATACGACTTCGGAGAGTTTGGCTGCCGCACCGGGTGTACCGCCAGACGTGATCCATGTCGTAGCTGCATGAAGCAGCTCACCGGCGCCGCGGAGTGTCAGATCTGCATGGAGACAGGTGTCAAAGTGCTGCACCAATGGCGTGACATCGTCGTCTTGCTGGCGAATAGGCTCCTTGAATGGCGTGTAGTCGCAGTGTCTTTCTTTTCTACAACCACTTAGCTCAAATCTCTTCTTTTGATGGATACGGAGAAGGTCTCTACACAAAACATCTTTGGCAACGTGGCAGAGTGCGATCACACCTCTGTTTCCTGACTCGGCAGTATGCGCATACATTTGATGCCTTTTGTGTCACTGGTATCAGACCTGCAGCTATACTCATTTTTCTTCCTTTTGAAAAAGTCCACAGCTCAATAGAGGTGGCGGCTGGAAAGTCGTGCCAGAGTCAGACCATGGGATGCGGCGGCCGATGCAGATTTACGCCTACATGATTTCAAGGCTGTTCAGTAATCAAGAAGGACGGTGACATTAACGGAATTGGAGGCCTGACGTAGGATCGATTGAGACAGTTCTGATAGGATATCAGCATTACTCTGGAATATCGTTGCCTCGGTTGATGCAGTCGCACCCCTGAAGGTGTTATAGTTCATGGGTAGACCCCTACCAGTGGATGTTTTGAGGTATCGTTTTCGTGTTCAAGACATTGTGGCTGATGGACGACGTTAGTCAGCAGGCGACACCAATCGACTTCTATGCAACCCATATAACCGAAAGATCAAAGAAAACGGCTATTGCGCACCAAAATTAGCTATTAACTACACATAGAATGTTTGTAACAACGTGGTTGTTTTTAAAAGATATATACAATTCAATATGTAGACTTTCCCTTATTATCAGATTTTTAAGTCTCAATTCGGATAGCGATTTAGCTCTGTTTTCGTGTGATTTTTGCACTTTGTCTCGGGTGGTCTACATCCCGCTTACAAATGCAAGCAGGACTACGTGGGGATGGGGGCACGAATTGCATTTTTCCAAGGCATTAATTCTTTTATTCCAAAGTTCTCGAGAAAGCATTATCTAAAAGGTTCAATTAAACTCTTGACGTAGCAAAGTCGTAAAATATGGAATTTTTACAAGCTAATTTCCAAAGCTAGGGTCTTCATGAGCGGAAGAATCTTCTCTACCGCCCTCTCAGCAGCAATCATAACACCCATGACAGGGTTTGTCGTTAGAGGAGGAACGATACTGGCGTCTACGACAAACAGATTCTGCATGCCAATGACCTTGGTATCGGCATCTACACACTCGTCCATTCTACAGCTGCTGCTCCAGTGCTGCACGTTGCCAAGTGTGTACTTGCTTGGGGTCTTCAACCAGGACTCAATCTCGTCCACTGTCGAGTTCTTCGCAATGTTGAGGGGCGTAAGGGTTTCTGGAAGGGCTTGGAAGATGTTGTGAATGAAGGTCGCGATCGCGTTGACATCGCGGGGGTCAGCGAAGAAGTTGGATGATGGCAGAGCAATGCCCCTGTCGTCGAGGCCAACACGACCAAAGGAGCGAAGACCTGATGTACCGTAGACGTTGAGAGTGATGGTGTTGTTGTCGTTTCCATAGTCGAAAGCTCCCGAAGAGTCAATGGTACCTTGGCAACCAACGAGGTCTTCGCCTTGTTGAATGTAGTCCCAGAAAGCACTCGTTTGCGAGGCAAAGGTATATGGTCCAGAGCGGTTCTTCAGGTACATCTCAGCGTCCGTTGGCGGTGGGTTAGAGTAATCGTAGACGAAAGAGGTGACGGCCTCGTCGTGGAGCTCAATGAAGGTATTCGGGTTGTCGAATACCTTGTCGCCAACTGCTGTGTTGTTGATCCAGTCCTGGGGTGGAACTGTGATCTGACCGTTCTTTGCAAGGCCCTCCAAAAGAGTTACGTTGCCAATACCGGACCACATCAGGAGCTGGGGGCTCAGGAGCGCACCTGCTGATGAGATGACCACACCACCTTGCTTGAGGCAGATGCTGGTGTGGTTGGTACCCTCGAACTCAACATCGACACCGGTTGCAATATCGCCGTCACGACGAACGCGCAGAACCTTTGTTCCAGTCCTGAAGGCAAAGTTCGATCGCTTGAGAGCTTGCTGGAGGTAGGTCTTTACTGGTCCGCTCCTTTGACCTCCCTCGTAGTTCCAGATGGGATGACCAAAAACCTTGGTTTTAGAATGTTCTGATGGACCGTCATTCAGACCAACGTCGGCATATCCGGCTCCATCGACAAGCCACTTCTTGGCAGTCTCATAGCCGCTTTGAAGGTATCGCTGTCCGTCCAATGAAGGGCTGTCGGTACTTGGCTGGGTTTCCCTGACCTTCTGAATGGCACCTTGCATATCCTTGTTCTTCCAGCCTTCTGGAAAATACTTGTCCCAATCGCTGGCAGGCGGCTGGAAGAAAAGACCAGCATTGATGGCAGTGTTACCGCCAACAGTGCAGCCTTGGAACGCGTTGACGACATTAGATGGGCACACCAAGCCCTGCCCAGGGTTTGAGAAAATAGTCTTGTACAGGCCTGGAACATCGACACGGCTGAGTTCTGTGCCCTCCAGCCAGTTCGGCCGTGTACGACCACCGGTAACGTAGTACGATGGGCCTCCTTGCTCCAGGAGAAGAGTCCTCTTTCCCGCCTCACTCATACGGTCTGCTGCGACGATACCAGCTGGTCCGGAACCTACAAACTGTCAGTTTTATCGCCAAAAGTCAAAGTACAAGTTCCGAGTCTTACCGACAACAATGACATCCCACTCGCCGCCAGGACAACGCGTAGCAGAGGCGGAGCCAACCAATAAGGCGGCAGCAACCACCGCATTCCAAGTTTGAATCGCCATTATTATAGAATTAAGAGTAAGGATGATTACAGCTTTAACACGCTGAAGTTGCTATACCCGTAACTTACAAAGGCCAAGGGGGCTCTCTTTAAGCAACTTTCCCATCCTGCGCTAAACCCGGACCGCTTCCTTCGGGACCGGTGGGCAAAAAGGAAACAGAAAGCACTGTGATGCAGCGTTACCACCTTTTCCAGCAAATTTGCAACGAGAGGGTTGAAGCCGCCGCCCCCGAATACGAAAAGCAACGATACCATGGCACCCTTTCGGCACGACAGAGTCTGTGCGTAATGCTTAATTTAAAGTCCGGCGAGCGGGCACTTTGCCTTGTCGGATGGAAGCGTCAGTGCACTGATCGCTTATCGACATGATACCAGGATATTGAGTCGTTTTTTACAGAGTCCCTGACGCCACAGCCTCCGCAGCGTAGCTATTCATGGATATGACGATGGGGCTTGGAAATAGGGCGGCGGTGATGGGGTTGGGCTAGTAGTAACGTCGTAAATGCCGTCATATGAAGGTACGACTAAATTTTAGTTTGCAGCGCTACGCTGAGTTGGGCAATATGCAAAGAATATCTCGGCCTCTTTTCTGGGTACGTTGAGGAAATGGTTCAAACAGCTTTTTTTCCCAGACAACATGAACAGGCACATTTGCTGTTGTAGGTATAGTAGCATATGAACATATCCACATCTTTCATGTGTGGGTCGCCAGCAAGGAAACTATCGCGACTAACACGGGATGGGATAGTGTAGCAAACCCTATTCAACATCTGGTCTAGCCTCCTCTCTACCATCCGCACTATTCTGGCACCTCTTCCCCTTCCGTAATTCCACTATCATCAACATACTTACAAACAGAAACAACGGTCTCTGAGAAAGTCCCCTTTATAATATTATAGTATCTCGATGCAACAAAAAACACGTACCGTTGAATGACAGATTATACATTCATGGATGCACTTAGATAAAAAAAAGGAGGTCAGCAAATTTGGGTCATCGTACAGGGCAGATCCCGTAGTACCGCGTTGTCGCATTTCGCGATCGGCCCACCCGGAAAACCCCATGCAGCAAAACAGGACCAAGTTAATCTCGTCGTTATGTGCAGATTTATTCTTTGGGTTCTTACATCATACCACAGCTTAAAATTACGTAGGCACAGACTCTCTATGCATATATGTATTTGTTGTTGTTTTTTCAGCTGTTGAAAATCGGGTACTTATGTAAAGTTGGTCAAATGGTGCAAAAAGGCGGGCTTAGAAGCAGTATAGTAAAGTGGACGTGCTTGTAAGGTTCTAGATGGTAGGAAGTGAGCAAGCATTAAATGTCAAAACATGGACGATCGCAATTCACTCAACTGCCGGATGCCGAGAATATGCCACGTGAGCGTGGAGATTTATGCGCACTGCTCTGAATGTCCTACCTACGTAGCTTCTGATGTACTTAGTAGTCAGAGTTTATAGTACTGTGGATCACGTTCATGTATTTTCGTTGTCGCACAGAGTCTTGATAACACGAAGTAACGTGTTCCACCAGTAAGCTGGACACACCAGTAAGCTGGACACCCCACCTAACCTGACCCAACGCTTGACACAACCACCACCATGCCGCGACAACAAAGTGCTCAATCAACTTCTCGTGAAAGCAGAATAAGTCTTGCTATAGCATCCTATCATAATAATAAAAAACAGCCTATCCGTGCGCTTGCGAAAGCGTATGACGTACTAAAGTCAACTCTGTATACGCGCATCCATGGTACTCAGCCATAATTAGATACTCCGTCTATTAGGCGTAAGCTATTATCTATTGAGGAGCACTCTCTTGTTCAGTGGATCCTAGAGCTAGATCGGCGTGGCTTTCCGCCCTATATTATCGACGTGCGACGGATGGCACACTCTACTCGCTGCGCGTGGTTAAGATCCCCCTCTATAACCTGTAGGCAAGAACTGGGTATCGCGCTTTATTTAGAGCCAGCCAGAGCTTTAGACAAAGTGGACTAGAAGATTAAGTAGCTAGCGCGCCCACTGCGAGGATCCTACTGTGATTACAGCCTGGTTTAAGCTAGTAGAGGAGACGCGCCAGACGTACGGCATTCTCGACTAAGATATCTATAACTTTAACGAGACTGGGTTCGCTATGGGCGTCGCTGGGACGTTAAAAGTAGTTATAAGCTCTGAAAGAGTTGGTTGGGCAGTCGTCGTACAGCCAGGTAATCGCGAGTGGGTAATAGTTATCGAGTGCGTTAATGCGTCTGGCTGGTCTTTACTACTATTTGTGATTCTGTCTGGTAAAGTCTACTAGAACAGCTGGTATCGCGACCTCCCCCTTGACTGGACTATCGGCGTCTTAGATAACGGCTGGACGATAGACGAGCTTGGTGTAGAGTGGGTAAAGCATTTTAACTAGTATACAGCCGCTCGTACGGCTGGAGTCTATCGTCTTCTTATCCTAGACGGCCACAGTAGCTATACTACGCTAGAGTTCGACTAGTACTGCGCTAAGAACAAGATTGTCACTCTCTGCATGCCACCTTATACCTCTCATCTTCTCTAGCTGCTTAATGTAAGCTGCTTCTCACCGCTAAAGCGCGCGTACGGGCGTGAGATTGAGGAGCTCGCTCGCTAAGGCGTTAACTATATTAATAAGATAGACTTCCTTACAGTCTATGCACGGATCTAGCTGATAGTATTTACTTAATAGAATATCTAAGCTAGCTTTCGGGCGACTGGGCTTCTCCCTTCTTATCTAGATCGTGTCCTATTGTTGCTTACTATTGTTAGGACACCATCTCCACTATAGACAACTATAGATAACAACGCTACGATATAGGTAGAAATACCGCATACAGTAGCCCAGCTTTAGTAGTAGGTAAAGCTTCTTTAAGAACGACTCTATCAGGAATTATAAAGCCTAATAAGCCGGCTTTTACGCCAGGTTATTAAAGGCTGTTAAATAGCGATGCAGTCAGCAACTATACTTGCTAAAGAAAATAAGAAACTACGTGTAGCTAATCAGCGTCAAAAACAAAAGCAAGATAGACGGCGTTAATATATTGCTTCTAGTGGAGTGCTCTAGGCTCAGCAGGCTTAGCAGCTTACTGCAGAGATAGAAAGGGTGGTCACGGAGGTTGAGCAGGGTGAGAGCAGTTAGCGACGACAGCGCGCGCCGCCGACGTGTACTAAGTGCCATATTTAAGGGCATACTCGGACTACCTGTAAAACTAGATATTAAATCGTATTTCTTAATCTTATCTTATTTTATTGCGTTGTTGTGAATCAATTGCACAGAAAGTGGCGTTAGGTTGGGTGGGGTGTCCAGCTTACTGGTGTGTCCAGCTTACTGGTGGAACACGTTATTTTATTCATATACGAGAAATAGTACCGTAAGCTTATGGGAATACGGGCTTGCTTCATCGCTTATTCGTTGAACCAATTTGAAGCACATAGGTGTAACGGAATAGTGAGCGATTTAGTTTGTGTGTGGAACCATCTGTACGCGCTATCTACTCAAGAACCATTCTAGTAGTAGATGCATACTACCACGGAAATCCTCCTACGCTGCACTTGCTACCACCGGCTCAGCCTGAGCAGCCGATTTCTTTGCGCTTTTCATCTTTTTTACCTTTTTGCCTTTTTTCACGGGTACCACTTCACTTGCACTAGCTGATGCCTGCCCAGTTTCGGCACTCGCATCGTTTCCAGCTGTAGTCTTGAGATTAGATGCGCCCGCCATCTGCTCAAGCTGTGTCACAGAGTCGGTACGAACAAGACTGGTCATCTTCGGCTCTTCCTTTGGAGACACGGTGATTGGCGCTTCTTGCTCTGCTTTCTTGTGCATCTGCTGCCATTTCATGCTGGTCACAAATTCCTGGTCATCCGTGAACGACTCGGGCATAGCAAGGAATTGTGGGTTGGACGCTGTAGCTCCCACTTCACCAGAGACATCTTGGACACTCTCCACAACGAGTGCATTCTTGTCAGGCTCTTCAACGATTGAATGAGGTTCTGCTACAGCTTCTGGTTTGCTGTTACTGGCGTCCTCACTTTCGATAGCAATTGCAGAGCCTACATTCCCATGCGACTCAGAAATGTCAGGGACAAGCTCAGGTGTACGAGCAGCGACACTGTCAGCCTTGACTGTGGGCGTCGATGTCGGCGTCGCCGGCTTTGGAACGTAGTTGCTCATCATTGTCTTCCAGACGAGCTGCAACAGTCTGCTACTACCCTCAACTGTCGTGATAAAGTCTGGTTTTCGAAACGGGTTTGGGTCGTCCGTCACGGCATTGCGAAGCGCATCTTCAATATACGCTGGATACCACGCGTCGTCCTCGGGAAGCAACGGAAATGCATGTTGTCTTGCTACTGCAAGCATGTCGAAAATGGTCACATCTTCTCCAAACGATTTTATCTTGCCCTGTGCAAGCTCTGCGAGGCCTGGTAGCCCGTAGCGTACGGCAGCGCAATACACGCATACACTAAGCTTATAGCTTTCTGGAATGATCTTGTCCGAGCCCGCATGTACGCTAAGTGTCTGGTATTTACCGGTGTACAGATAATGTACTAGAGTATGCGCAGTTGCTAGGTCGAGCTCCGGTAGGGGTACAGATTGCTTGATGAAAGATGGGTTGTAGGACCTTGCAAGCACTTCGCTTCGGCTCAAAACGCTCTCGTGGACTAAAAAGCGAACTGCTTCGGGTCCTACTTCCAGCACAGCTATGTGTGTAGAGGCATAGGGGCTATAAGGGTTGATTGTTAGCTCCCTGTTGCCGTGGATAGCTCAAATGAACTTACGACTTCTCTTCCGCGCTAATGGCCAGGTCTCCAAAACCATGCAAGCATTCACCCATCCCATCTTGCTCATGCGACACGCCGAGGGTGGAGTTGTCGCTGATTGACATGTTGTACTAGCCTCAACGCGACACTTGCTTCTAACTCAAAAGGCCCGTTTAGACAGCTCCATTTATCATAGACTTCAAAAATGAGGCTCGAACATATGCGCTGTCAAATTGCCACATTCGCAGAGTGTGTATGCACTTCTGAGTTGTCAGTCCTACGATATATTTTAGCACTCAAGATACGGCAATCCTGTTGGTCAGCCTGGTCGTCCTTCACTGCACCCCGCGAACGGTGGATCCAATGACAGAAGAGACGGCACAGAACCGAACAATATTGGTAAGATCGGGTTCGGATGCACTGTCGTTAACGCCTCAGCCTGATTGTTTGATGCGCAAGACCCCGCTCGCGTGCTGTAGTTCACGTCGGTGTCGCTCTAGAATTGAGTCGTAGAAGTGGGGGCTATAGGAAACCCAAAGGTATGTTTCCATAGACAACGTACTACGTGTTCAGTGTTCTCGCACCTGTTCTCACTTCAGGCTCGCGTATAATGATCTGCGACTCCTGCATCATCGCTGTAGTATTCTTCATCATCTGGACTCAATCTTCGCGCCATTTCGTATTCCTCAGCATTTTGTACCTCCTTGACGGGGCTGTCATCGATGTTCTTAAACATCCGGTAAAAGATGATGCCAGTAACTGCTGCCGCACTTGCCAAGCCAAAGTACAGCCACTGCTGGTGAGGGTCCCTCGCCAGAGGCGCGATGAGTATACCTAACGCACTGCCACCGGCGCTTGTGAGAAGAAATAAGCTCATGATGAAGCTCTTCATATTCTCTGGCGCTTTCGCATATGCCAGCTCCAACCCCGTGATACTGGCGAGAATCTCGCTAAGAGCAACGAGCACATATGCTGGTGCTTGCCACGCAACGTGGATTTCGTTTGGCTTGAACCTTCCCTCCCCGATTTTGCCCGCGTTGCAGTTCGAAGGGCTATAATAGCATGGCGGCGCTGCGTAGATGTATGTTTGGAGGATGCCAGCATACAACATGGCCAGTGCAGCCACCAAGAAGCCAAGCGAAATGCGCGTTATGGGCTGGAAGGCAAGGTGCAGACGGGTACGAATGAATGGGTAGATGAAGCGGTCCATAAGTGGAATTAGTATGATGATCGTGATGGGATCGATATTGGGAAGAATGTCGTTAGGAAGACCGTGTAGCTCCATCTGTCCAGCTTGCGATATAAAGTTGTTCATCATCTGTGAGAACGTGACCCAGTATATGGGAAAGAACAAGAAAACTTTGCACGCCACCAGCGCTGTCTTCAGCTCTTCGACGAACTTGTCGTCCCAGGTCACTCTTGACTTGAGTCTTCCATGTCCTTGGGCTGAGGCTTTCGCTTTGTTGAGGTCGCCGCCATTCCTTGCGGCAATGTACAGAGCCCGGAAGCAGTTGCCCATAACACCACCTTGAGGCGGTTTGATGATGTATTGCTTCTTTCCTCTTACCAGTATTACATAACCGACGCAAAACATGATCAGCGGTAAAAGGTATGCGCTCCAGAAACCAACATGCAACTCCAGCATCGTGGTCGCGATTGCAGATATCGAACCAACGTTTATGCACATGTAGAAAACCATGTAGATCCTCTGCACCGTGAGTTCTGGGTCGACAATGACCTTCTTCCCACTTGGCAGAGTTTTGACAAAGGGCTTGTTGGACCGAACTTGCTCTGCGATCAACGGTGACACATTACTTTTGATACCACCCGTACCGAGTCCGATGATTAACATGGCAACAACAAGCCCGGGGAAAGCGGCCCCGCTTCGGATAGCCCATGGCAAGCTTGTCAAAAAGAGGATTGTGATCCCGCCCATGTAAATTAGACTGAACCATTTGATTGTTGCGTACTTGCCGAGAAACTGGTCCGCAATAATGGCCCCGAACAAAGGCGTTAGATAGCACCAGAACTGGAAAAAGTTGGTCATTGCAGTAGCACCTGACTGTTTTAGGCCAAGAGCTCCAGGAAGACCGTTGGCATCGTTGTATCCGTTGGCGATATAGTTTTGGAATGGACCGGATAAGCCATAGTAGGCAAAGCGCTCACATAGCTCCACGATAGCTACCAAGAAGGCGCCACGAGGAAGACTGTCAGCTATCCGTGGAAGAAAGAGGTCGTCTTCTGGTGTGGGAACAGCTCCGATATGAACGGGCGGTCCAAAACCTGTGTCCTCCGAGCCCTCATCTGCGATTTTTCCGTGAACAGTCAACCTTGCACTTGCATCCTCGGTTTGTGCAACGGTTGTGTATGCACCCCTGTTTTCGGCATCTCGACTCCGCGAGGATGCCATGTTGAGAGTCGATTCAGTCCTCCGCTATTCCGGTGTACCACGGCTTTCCTCTTGTATTTCCTCCTGTACCTGGCGTGGTCTGCAGTTAAGATGGTTCACTGCAAACTGTACACACTAGAGTTTCGTCGCATGATTGATAGAAGTATAGGTTATGTGAATGCAAGCATCATGAAGGCGATGTATCTGTGAAGATTTTGAAGAATGGAATCTGAATTGTAGTCCATGAAGACACGCGTTCACGAAGTGAGACGGTGCTCGCGTCGAGCTAAGCCGAATGGAGCACTGAATAACCCCACTATATTTCACAAGCGTGGAACATAGCAATACGTCGATTATTGTGAATTATACAATACTGTCTCATCGAACACAGAGTCTGACCTTCATTTCTTGTCTGCAAAGAATCCACCCAACTTCCCCTCCACATCCCTCATGCCCAGCCCACCAGTCAGACTACCCCTAATCCACTTGGGTAGTTTATCTTGTATCCGCTTGCTCCCATACCGTCTGTCCAACATCAAAATGGCCGCATAATCACCTTTATGTCTGATAGCCCGTCCCACACATTGATTTACAGAGCGCATACATGCATTCTCGTAAAACTCGCGTGCTGCAGCCTTGCCATCACCACCGTTTTTTGCTTCTTTGGCAGCGATATACTGCATCTTTGCTTTCCACTCCGCTGAATGCGCATTTGGAAACGGAAGACCGACGACGACAACACCGCGACCTAGTGCATCGCTAAAATTGATTCCCTCGGATAGTGTCCCGCCAATAACAGCGAAAAGGAGCGCACCTCGGCCGTTACCACATGCGATTGCTGTACTGTAGGCATTGAGAACCGAGTCGACAGCTCCCTCTTTGACCGCTGAGGATGCGTCTAGATTCTGTTGTTGACTGCGCTGCTCTAAGAACACCGGCTTGCTGTTTTTGAAAGTATCCCAAAATGTGGTATTTGATTGTGATGGCTTCAGGCGCTTCCATGCTGCGATACAGGTATCCAAGTACGAGTAGCTGGGGAAGAATACTACCACTCCATCGGGTATGTCTCGCGTAAATGCCGAAATGGCAGCCCCGAGATCATTCATTGTCTTTTCTTTATTGCGGTTTTCAAATGTAAAGTCAAACTCGGCGCCGCTCGTCGCTCGTACAACAGGTACAGCGAGCAGGTTCGAAGGCGGTATAACATGCCCGCAGGACAGGGTTTTGATCTTCGAAGGGTCCAGGTATGATAGCAGATGCTGCTTATAGTCGCTCATTGGGGACATTGTACCTCCTGCGAGTACTACTGCTCTTGCTTCTTCAACAATATCTTTGAAATGAAATGTGGGGTCGAGAAGCATGTATCGTAGCGTTGTTACACCGTCCTCTTTTGAATAGAAGAATCGGCCTTCCGCGGAAGGGTTCATTAAGGAGAGCAGAAAAGCTTGTACGTGCATGAGCACAGGAACACTGTGACGGGGTCCCTTCTTGGACACTTGCTTTGTGGGCTCATCGACTGTTTGTTCAGCGTATGCAGTATATCCATCAACCTTTCGAGCGAGCCTGCTTTCTTGGAGGTATGCATTGAGCTTGAAAACATTGATCTGGTCAACGCCCTTTCCGGACATTATAGATACCATGTCAACCAGGCCATCAGTTGCCTTTGGATCAGCGTCGATAGACTGCAAATAAGCAAGGATTGAATCTAGGATCCTAACTGTCTGGGCAACGTAGACTCGGTTCTTTCCTTTTAGCTTGTTGCGAAACTTTTGAAGATAGGCTGTAAGCTGGGCGCGCGCTTGTTGAACTTGGCCGAGCGTTACAGAAACGGAGTAAATGCCTGCTATAGCATCCATCAAGTTGTGCGCTTCGTCGATAATGACAACATGGTCTTTAAGAGATAGTCCAAGTGCCTCGCGAGCAGTGCGTTGTAAGAGCAATGGATACGGCAAGGTCACAATCTAGGCTCGTCAGTATATAGACGTATATTGAATCATTGGAAAGCCAAGTTCACCTCGCAATACTTTGTCGCTGGTCTTGAAGCATAATAGGGACATACCCCCAGTTTTTTGCCCAGCGATCCGAGATCCTCGATGTCTCTGATCTTTGCAAGCGCATGATCACGAAAGTCGTTGATTAGAGGCTCGCTTTCTTTACTCGGCATATGGGGGCATCGGCTTTCGGTGCTACTGTTCTGTTGCAGCTCTAGGCATCGTTCGTTGATGGCAGTAGCGCTTCCGAGCTTATTTACCTTATCATTAATACATAGGTTCTTCCTTGATCCGAGCGTAAGGTGTTTGATATCTTCCACGAGTGAATCCGTATCAGCGCTGTTCGTGTCATCGTCCAGAGCAATAGCAGGCGGCATCTTGACCCGGCCCAGCTCGCTCGAAAACTGCGTCAGTTGAGAGTGCGTCCGAGAACAGAAAAATATCTTTGTCTCGTCGGGCACTTCCCCATCGTCGTTCTTCGGAGCATCATCAGCATACCCCAACGATGCCATCAACGCCTGTGTTGCTGCAGATAGCCCAGACTCATTAAAGGTACCACCTCTTGCTTGCTTTTGAGATTCCTGGTCGCTGTCATAGTCGTCAAGCACGAATTGTGCTTCATCATCATCGTCCGTTTCGCCTGAAACAACCTTCCGTCTCTTGTAACTTGATTCGCCATTCTCATAGCGCTCTTTTGCACGCTTCTCCTTTGCTTTGATTTTTGCAATGCGTTCATTCAACTCTTGTTTCCGACGAAGTGCTTCTTGCTTACGCTGCTTCTGTGCATGCTCGACGATCCATGCCGGCTCTTCGCTATTCGCTACATCGGCTGCAAATCCTTCTTCGAAAGTCCTCCTTTTGTGGTCTCTCAACCATGTCAAGGAGCCGCAGATCAGGCTCAGTGACTTGCCTGTCCCGGTCGGTGATTCAAAGATGCCGACCTGGCCATTTTCTAAACATTCGTATACAGCGCTCATGAACTCATTTTGTATATCATAGGGCGTGTAGGGATGGTGAAAGTCCAGTTGCTCGGTTTTGCTGACCATTTTGAAAACGCATACCAATGAGTGGATGTAGGTAGTTGGAAGACGTGACGCGTTCACGAAAACGGGTGTTCACGTGCCGCGCTAAGTGCCCACTAGCGTATGAACGACGAAGCAGCCCTTCTATTTGAGAATGGATTACAAGCGAAACAAAACACATTCAACTACATCTGGCACATGTTCTGATAGTTGTGTGATTTCATGGGGAAAGATCTGCGGGTAGATCCAATAAAATATAACAACATACAGGAATGAGCGCTATGTAACATAGTAAACACTTTAGCATCATTTTCTCATAAGATGTGTCCAGCAACGATCTTCATATCGTTATATTGGAACTCTGTAGAACCATCGAGATCCGGGTATCATATGCCTGTACTTGTATTCTTCTTGTCGTGAAGTATCAAGATTCTTCACTGCCACCCCTGCTTACTTCTCGTGCAATGAACGCATCAGGATCCACCGGACAGCTCTTGACATCTACCTTGTGCTTATCCGCCCATGCTCTGACTTTTGCCTTGTTGATAACGGCATCTGCGCCGCCTTTCTTCTTCTGTTCGAGAACGTCCATCATCTGCAAGGTTGCAATGATGTCCTCGGGCACAATGTACGTCTTTTCGCGAAGTTCCTGCACGGTGACTGTCTTCTTAGACGGACATGAGAGGAGGGTACGAGCAAGTGTTTGTGACCAATAGTGGTTGTAGGCAATGCGACCGAGATCGGACAGCGCTGTCGTGATGTTAGCACTAGTCGGCGTGTAAGACACACCAGGAATGGCTTACGCTTCTCAGGACCACCCAGCCTCTCCTCTCGCCTACTCATTTCGTAGCTTGCACCCATCAATAGCTGACCCAATCCTTGCTTTTGCCACGGTGGGAAGACTAATATACATGCGAGATTATTATTGTCCCAACTCATCTTCTCCTTGCTGAAGAAGCCGACGACCTGCCCCTGCGCCCCGAATCCGCTTGGCGGTGCCTCATTCTCGAGAGTGGTGTTGGGTATGCTAGGTGTGGGATTGTGCGCAACTAGGAGATAGTACAAGAAGGTCGTGACGTCGTAGAAGACCGATTTGGTGTCAAGGAAGAGCTTTGCAAAGAGCGATAGGTTCTGCGCATAAAGCTTATTCTTCTCGCCATCGATCTCGTATAGGGAATAGTTGTCTTTTGTATAGACGTTAATGCCCGGGGGTGGAGTGTTACGAAGGGGACATGCTTTCTGAGACGTATCAGCTCAACCAGTCTTTCTGAACCACGAAAGTCCTTCAGGCGTACCAGATGGCCCAAGAAGCCAACGAGCTCCTTGCTATACTTGAAGCACCACTGGCACACGTAGAGCCGTTCGACGCGCCTTCCCACCAGCTCTTCTGGGTAGAAGGACGGGTACCATGGCTTGATCAGCAGCGAGCCGAGCACAACCTCGAGGACGTTGGGGCCCGTAGGCGGTTTCTGTGAGTTCTTGAGTGCGGGGGTGGTGGGCGTCGATGTCATGGAGGCTACATCGGGGGCCATTGAACAGGTGCTGACGCGCAGAGGGCTCGTTTCACATGCTGCTATGCTGCCGTGGGGTGACGCGGAGCCCGCAAGCATTGTTAGCGCGACGCGGCTGCACGTGACCGTGTCTTCTCATGTATGCAGTACGTATATTTTATCTACCAAGGGCAACGACCATCATGACCCCTGAAAGCTACTTCCTTATATTTCTCCATAATGAACTACGAGAAAGACCTTTTGCTCAAAAGCATCCTGATATCGAACCTCGCAACCACGCCATCGGCACCCTCGCTCACTTCTTGTGTGGACTAGCTGGCGGGGTGAATATCCCCGAAGATCTCGTCGTATCCTGCATGCCGCACTGGTACGAGTGCAGTGCTTTCAGTACAGCCTTGTTCTCCGAGTAGTAATCGCACGCATCCTTGTCTTGCATGATCGCTGGCAAACGAACGTGCAGCTGCAGGATGATTGCATTGCGGAGACCATGATCCAATTCTGGGCCGACGTCGCTATAGATCTCTGCAGCCAGATAGACAATAGTCAGAGGATCTTGAATGAATGGAATGCGATCGATGATCGTCTTGGAGGCTTTCTGCTTGATTGATTCGAGGTTGTACTGCACACGTTGTCAGAATTGTAAACCATGTGAATTATGGAGGGAGCTTGACCTTATCACATGCGATGAAGAGGGCCAACAAATCGCGCATGATACAATCTTTCTCAAATGCGTTTCGGAGCGCAAAGCTGCTAAAGATTGATCCTGTGGTTGGGTTGGACACTCCATATATCTCCTTGAGCATTGTGCTCACGGTCTGGCTGTCCTCGGGCAGTGTGATAGAACGCTGGCTGGTTTCCTTCAGAACGTTAGCAGGGCTCAGGTGCCTTATATGGTGCACACATGTCTCTTACTGCAAATTTTCCATCGCAAACCGTATCGAAGTACTGTGATCGTGTGCAGAGCCTAGCTGCTGTGTCAGCTACATAGACAAAATAAGAGACATGATGCTTACAAGACGCGATGAGCTTGAAATACCCTACCGACAGCGATGATGGTAAAGTCGGTACACTTGCCAGTCTTGTAGATACTGCGGCTGTTAGTTGACAATCTGAGAATTTTAGTTGAAGTATTTACCGGGCCCATTCTGATGTGTTCTCGTTCAGAGCTGCCACCCATAATTGACATTTCTGGTTGGTATAACCCTCCTTCTCCATGCTGAAGTCGGTACGGGCCAGTACAGCATTGCTATGTAGTTGAATCAGTATCGCTCGAGTATGGGTAGAAAAGGCGATACATACGAAGCAGCTTCATGAACTTCAAAGTGAGAATTGCCAACCGTGGTGGCAATCCGCCCAAGCGCATGTACAAAGTCCCCGGCGTCCGCACTAGTCGTGAAGTACAGGTCGATCTGCATATGTGGCATAAGTACGCAAACTTTCTTGCATGAGTTGTTGAAGCGAGTGCAAACTGCGCGCGCCTTGGAGACCTGGAAGAAGACCGGCTCCTCAGTATCGGGAAACTGTGCCATCACGGTAACACCAGGCTCGGTCTGGTACACAAGTCCAAACTCGGAGTTGGTACGATCGAGCACCAGCTGCGCTGGGCCTGAAGATTTGACATCGTGAATGACGGTAAACGATTGTATTGACCAGGTTATCGGGCCCTGCTCATCAAGGGATGTGACAGAAGAGGTCATGGCTGCTGAAAGACCTGGATTTTGCAGAATAGCAAGTTACACAAGATTGGCTACAGAAGCCTTGAGAGTGTCAATCACAGTAGGTAATGAGGTTTGGTTAAACGCAGAACTGGAGTATGTTAGAGTTCTATCAACGTATATGCTGGTGAGATGGTGCCTGAGTGGTGAGAGGTGAAACCCTGATAGGTAAGTGAGTCCACAGCATGGTTTCTGCATCAAGATGAGGTGAAAGAGCCTTCACTACGCACTACTAACACTTAAGGTAGCTTATTGAGCGTGAAAAAAACCCTTCTAAAAGCTTAGTCCCTAGACATCAACAGCACGGCTACGGCAGGAATCGTCTAGATGATTGTGATTCCCCTAGCAACCCCATACATGAGGATCCCAACGATCCCAAACATCGGCATCGAATCATTACTTTTCAAAGTAAAAAAAACTTCTCACCTAAACCACCGGCCCATCTACCTCTGCCAACTCTCCCACCCCTCCTCCCTCCATACCCCACTCTTCCCCCCTTCCTTAAACACCACTCTCATCCCATCCACCCTCTGAAATCTATCCACAGCTTTGCACATATCAACTACACTAAGCGCCGCGCCCATAACCGCCGTCAGCGCCTCCATCTCCACGCCCGTCTGCCCCGTACACTGGACTTTAGCCTCAATCTTTACACCTCCGTGTCCGTCGGAGAAAGGAGCAAGTTCGACGCTGACATGTGTGAGTGGGATGGGATGGCACAGGGGAATTAGGTCTGGGCATTTTTTCGCGGCCATGATGCCTGCTATGCGGGATACGCCGAGGACATCGCCCTTTTTGGCGGTGTTGGAGCGGATGAGGGAGAGGGGAGTCGGGTTTGTGAAGTGGACTGAGCCGATGGCGATGGCGGTGCGGATGGTATGCTGCTTTGTAGACACAGATACCATATGTGCAGATCCCGAAGAGGTAAGGTGTGGTAAGTATGGTGCTGGTGATTCTTTCTCGTCGTCTTTTTCCTTCTCTTTTTGCTGTGATACAAGGTCGCGAGCTAGTGGTGTAGATCGCGAAGAGGTCGAGTACATTTTGCGCGCAGTGAAGTCATGAGGAACTTGGCTACCCAAATCCTCGTGTAGATTTGGTCTCTTGTTCGTACTTGAGAGTGTTGCTGGTATCGGCCTGGCTTCTGCTTGTCCCTGTTGTGATGGCACCTCAGACTCCGTCTCATTGGTCAAGAACCCCAGGCCTTCAGCTTGAAACTCATCCCAGTTCATCACTCCCTCCGCATCTCCATGCATTGCGCCCCTATTCTCAAAGACTTGGTGCCACCGCACTGCCATTCGTTCCGCAGCTTCGTTGCCGAGATCGTGATCGCGAATCATTCGATCAAGCACAGCTTGAATTCGCCCATCTATAATGTCTTTCTCTACCTGACCAATGCTGTTGAATCGCGTTTGCCATTTCTTTACCAGGATCTTGAGCCATGTCTGCAACGTCGCTTTGTTCTGGCTGGTCCATACATCATATGGCAGCGTGTCGATACGCGGATATGAGCTTTTGAGGCGCTGAGCCATTTCGAAGACATATGATTGGAGTTCTGGAACCGGTCCCTCAAACGTGACAATGAGATTCTCGTCAATAGGAATAAACCCGGCAGCGGGAACCTGCAGACGTAGGCTATCACTCGGCCTGGATGGAGTGAAAGTGACCAGATTCATGTCCTTGCCATTTGTGTCTTGGTCTTTGTCTTCGGACTTTGATCGAGTCAATACAGATACCGAACCTATTCCAGGCTTCTGCAGTTGTATAGCGGCACCCTCCTTTGCCTGTGCTGTTGCTCGTATGCTCTCGGAATCAAGACCTGTACTTTGTAGCTTTGGCTCCCCCCAGCCGTTGCCAACCCTCTTCACTGCTTGATCGAGTATAGCGTCCAAACTCTTCGAAGTCGGCTGATTCTTCTGATGATTGGTTTCCACGGGTTTGGGAACCCTCTTGGCCTCCCGCTCTTCATTCTCTTGCTCTTCAAGCTGCTTCAGTAGCAAACGCTTCTTCGCCAACATCTCTTCCTTTCGTGTTCTGATTTCTTCCAGTTTTTGAGCTTGTTCGCGAATTTCGTTGACTTGTTGCTTATATGTATCAAGCAGTCGGTCGATCTCATCAACCTCTTGCACCTGCCTGATAGTATCTATTGTAACTCCGCTCCACTTTTCTGCACTCGGTTCGGCCAGCTTCTTCTGGTTGCACCGTGTTATGCGATCTTGCAACTCATAAATCTTCTCCTCAGTCTTCTTCAACGCCCTCTGGATCTCAGACGGTATCCTGACCTCCTCTAGGAATGCTTTGAGATCAGTCATTATTTCTGTCTGGCGTCGCAGCTCCGCATCCTGACTCTGTTTTGCTAAATATTGTCGTGTTCGATCGGCAATCGATTGAGCGTCATTCATCAGCAGTTTGTGGCTCACTTCCTCTGATCCCTGAAGCACGGATAGCAGCTGATTATGGGCTTTCTTGTTGAGATATTTGAATCTTTCACCACTGCCAGACTTGAGCTTCGCGTCCGCAACCATTCTCCAGTACATGTCGTACTTTTCATCGGTCAAACCATACTTCTGTCGCACTTCCTCAAGGTTCGGTGGTAGAGTGGCTCTTTGGGGACCGAACTGAGCAACAGATTCCAACATTTCTGCGTATTCGACACCATGCTTGACCGATACCTTAACAGGTAGGGTTTTCCTCTGGGGTCGCCCTGCAAGTGGCTTGGAAGTGGAGAAGGCTCGAACAGTGTTTGTAGACTGCAACGCTGTGAAATGCAGATGCGGCATTGAGGTTTGAAGAATATTTGACGCTGGAGGGAATATATGGGATCTCTCTGCATTCGGAAGCAGGGTTTGTAGAGGAGACGGTCGCCATGAATCTTCGTCTGCAAATGGCTCTTGACCTACATTCAGTCAGTAATGCACATCACACACACAAAAATGGTATGCAGACATAAAAGGGTATATCATTCGAATATGTAGTCGGGCACAATGATGCTCTAAGCGATATTATAGACTCACAATGAAGAAGAACGCTCAAAACGCCATTCATGCAACGACCGTCATACCACAACAAGCCTCCACGCGATCTGACATGATCAAGAAGAGGAAAAAGGGACCACAATCACCCACCAATTAAGATCATGGGCCTATTCTCCATGTTGGCGAGATCGTTCAGATCAGCGTGCTTTTCTGCTTTGCGCTTTACAGCTGCTCCTACAACTTCGAGCAATTCGCGTTCTCGCTGGCCCCAGCCAAGTATAGTCTCATCGCTCAGACGGCCCTCATGACGGTCCATTTCGATTTGCCTGATACGTTCAAATGCTTCTTGGTCGATGGGTTCACCGTTGTTACCCTGCCGCAGTACGTCGCGCAACGATACCTCGGCGTTTCCATGTAGGCACACCTTCAGATTGCCGTCACTTGTTATGCGTAGTCGATTACAAGAGCCGCAAAAATCGTTGGTCATGCTTGTAATGAAGCCGACCTTGCCTACAAAGCCAGGAACCTCGTACGTCTTGCTCGTGTCGTTCTTATGACCAGGAACTGGCCTGAGTCCTGGATATTTTACCCGAATGATGTCCAACATTTCTTGGAAGCTGATCATCTTGTTCTCACTCCACTTGTTACCGCCAAAGGGCATGTATTCGATGAAGCGCACTTCGATGTCTTTCTCGCGGCCCATCTCGACAAAGGGTAGGATCTCCCGCTCGTTCAGGCCACGCATGACAACACAGTTGACCTTGAGTTTCACGTTTGCTCCCAAATTGTTCATCTCGAGTATGCGGTCGATCGACTTCATGACCGCATCGAAGCCTTTTCGCCTCGTCATGATCTGGAACTGAAACGGATCCAAGGTGTCCAGACTCAGATTGACACCTGTCAAGCCAGCCTCGACCATGGCGTCAAGTTTCCGGTGCAGCGATATGCCGTTGGTGGTGAGTGCGAGCTCGCGCAGGCCTTTGGGGCGCAGACTACCGATTTGCTGCATGAGGGGCACTATGTCGCGGCGAACGGTGGGTTCGCCCCCGGTAAGGCGGATCTTGGTCACACCTTGCGACACAAATAGCGATGAGAGGTAGAATATTTCGGGTGTGGTGAGCATGTTAGCGGACGGCGATAGCGGAACGCCCTCTGTCCTTCGTCAGTCAAATTTTTTGTCGAGTCGTGTTCAAGGCACACCTTCGGGCATGCAGTACAGACATCGCAGATTGCAGCGCTCTGTAATGCTGATGCGCAGATAGTCATGCTGCCGGTTGAACGTGTCGGTCAAAAAGGCAGAGAAAGGCTTCGCATTTTTGATTGCTGCTCTCCGGTCCTCGCCGCTTGATCGCTGCGGTGTCTGTACCGGGGAGATGCCTGGGAGAAACTCGGAAACTGGCTCGCGTGTTTCTGTATTTGTCGCAATACATCTTGTCCGTATGGCGGAGATGGGCGATCGTGGAGATAGTTCGCCACGGCCAGCGACTCTTCGCAATGTTTGGGGACCCGCCCATACCCTAGCCATGTGCACCATCATACCGAGTCGAGTCTGAAGGAACCGTGCCCAACATCTGGAGGGGCGGACATGGGAAAGCTATATAAGCCAGTAGACATAGGGCGGAGATGACTGAGATGCGAACTGCTTTAGTGGGCTGTCCGAGGTCCATGCAGGGATCCGTAGTCGCACTTGGCAGCATTACTAAGGATTGTGCTCGCAACTGGTGGGGGATCCTCGCCAATGACAGTCTGATGATAATCGTATTCATTGAAGTCTGTTGCCACAGCGCTGTAGCCTACCTGTTGTGCAGAGTGGCATGTTCTCTCGAAGGCTGACAGTGCGCAAAAATAAGTTTCGTAACACGACGCAACAATTCCGGCCTTGCCCCTCTGTGCCTATCTTCTTAATTATGTACAGTACTCTCCAGACACCACTACTATCCATTCGAGCAATGTATACGCAAGTATTACGTTCCCTTGTAATTTCTACCAACTCGGCACTTGCACCCGACACACTACATCCTTCGCCTTTCCCGTCTTTCATATTTCTTTACCAGAGCTTCGAATCTTTTTTTGCCTCGCTGCGACACAAATTGTAGCCGGACATTGCATTGTCTCTGTAGACTTGCGCGCACCGCTATCCGCTCGGCCTTGACTTTTCCAGCCAGTTTCCTTTGGGTGGGCATGCAATACTCGCTGTGCGTCATCTTGACAGGGGCACCACGTGTGGCCAGCTGTTGTTGATGATCCTGGCCGTGATATCTTCTCGTAGTGGGCATGCCTCCTCGCTCCCACACCATCTCAGAATGCCACTCCAAGCAACTCCCGCACGTGACCTTCAAACATGGACCTTCATGGTCGATCTCATTCTTCCGCTTCCCTGTCCGTTTTCGTTGTATACCACCGTAATGAAAGCGGTAAAGCTTCGTATTACAATCTCTGGTTGTACTTATCCTGCGGACAAATCTCTTTTGTGTTGTGGACTGATTGCTCTGGATACTAGAAGGGTTGTAGGCATTCCAGATGTGCTTTGGTATGATTAATTTTAACCCCATGATAACGTCTGTGGCTACAGATAGAGGACTACTCTTTGCACAAAAGCGATGATGCGATTCAAAAAGCATTTGTCTGGTCGGCTTGCTACACATACTATGTATATGTGCGCAAGCGGCTGTCAGTTTCACGCTTGTTGTTTCATTTGCTTCTCATTATTATCACCCGCGTGACAAAGGATGAAGTACTTCCTGCGACTAACCAGACATTGTATGGAAGATGGACTCAGTAGAACATCTATGTGGAAAAAGTCAAACAATGTCTTTGATTGAGTCTATGAATCTTGAAAATGCAACGATGCGACCATCCGCTATGTAGAATATGTGCAATGATTGCGCTACCGATTCTTAATCATAACACCTTTCCCATAGTCCACCATTTCGAGCAAAGCTTTGGCTTTCGACAAACTTGCTCAGCGTGCACTTCCCAAAACGGTCCCCACCACAGAACTCCAGTGGTTGCACACGATCGTTCACAATAATGCGGACTGACTCTTCTTTCTCGCCCTTGCACTGCAGCTTCTCGACATACAGGCGGGCAGCGAACGGAACTGTCCATGCAGCCGAGTAGCCATGAGTCTGCTTAGTGTCTTCAATCGTAGTATTAGACAACACCTTGGTCTTGTTGTACAGTCCAAGCGCAGCTAGAATACCACTAATGTCATTGTCGTGACTAAAATCAGCGTATACTTTGCGGTCCAGAGGGAATGTCTTTGGATCTGAGTCAAGTGTGCGGTTCGTGTTGGTGTTGTCTTCGACAGGCTTCTTCGTCAGGCGCGCCAACAGCTCGTTGACGTACCCAACGCCTTGCGTAGGCCCAAGTGGGTTTCCTACACTGTAGCCGTAGTACTTACCCAAAGTCTGGAAGTAGTCATACTCCCGCCATTCCTTGTCTGTGAACAGCTTGCAAAACTCTGACAACTGCGCTGAAGGATGTGCAAGGGTGTCGAAAGGGCACATGTCCATCATATAGACAATAGAGGTCGCGCTAAGATTAGTACCGAGAGCTGAGTTGACGCGGTTCTGGATCGGTGGCACAAACTTAGCAGCCCACACCTGCTGCGCTCGGTCTCCCAAGCCATGGCTCGGCCCGCCCTCGAAAGCAGGGCAGATATCGTGAGACAGCGTGTTGTTCCAATTTGGGCCTTCTGGAATGACCAAATCAATCTTCTGAGGCTTTGTGTTCAACGATTGTGCAACACCCATGAGCCAGCGCTCAGCTGACTCTACGACACGATGCTGGCCACCAGCGCGCACAAATGGCGTGTTCTCGTCCATTAGCTTCTGGTACCGGCGATAGAAATGTGCGCCCGAGTTCACCATCTCCTGCCTTCCAGCATCCGTCAGCTCATCCGCGCCCAGTGTATAGTCGTAGTTCTTCAAGAACTTGAATGCATCCGGGTACGACGTGCTTGTGTTCTGAATCTCGGCAATCAGGAGGTGGTAGGCTATCGATTTGCCAAAGGTCGGGTCGCGGCCACCATGGCGGGAGAGGACGTTCGCAAAGGTGACTTCGCAGCCTTTGGGAGGGGCAACGTCTATTTCAGATGGCACAGAATACCATAAGGAATACTGGCCAAGGTAGTGTGTCGTCTTGGGGCTGCAACGGTAGCCCTCGTCGATGGTGTCGCAGGATTTTGAGGTTGAGAATGGAAATAAGCTAATGGGCAATTAGTGGAGGAAGATGGATATAATGATCAGATGGTGCATACTTGAAGAGCCCGTAGACGACTACACAGGCACCAACTGCCTGAATTGCACGACGACGTAGGCCTGTGGCTTCATTGTGGCGTCGCGATGGTTTTGATGTCGGCGGTTCCTTCTCGCTCATAGGCAGAGATGTATAGCTTTGAGGCCGGTTTACGCGCATCCTGTTCCAAGGTTGCGACATATACAGAGTGGTGGCGTATGTGGTAGTGTTGGACCGTCTTCAGCTAGACAAGTATGAGAGAGATGCGGAAACTGAAACCGTGACGCCTGTGCCGACCCAAAGGCAAGTCTCAGGACGCGCCAAGGCACCGTCTCTGCGGATTCGTGGCGAACAGGACGCGCAACACCATTGTCTGGAAAATGATGTGCGGCGATCCACGAGCGGTGGAGACCAACATGGTGCTATTCACGGGCAATGAGTTTACCCTGCTCTGGGCTGTCAGTCGTTGTGC